CCCAATGCCACCTCAGCGGCCCCTCGTGACACCTCGAGAGGCTCCGACACCGTCCTGAGGTCTCCTGGTGGCACCTCGGGGTCACCTGGTGGCACCCTGAGGTCCCCCAGTGGCGTCCGCAGCCCCGGTGCCACCCATGTCACACTCGATGGCACCGCGGGGTCCCCCGATGGCACCAGTGTCCAGCCTGATGCCACCTGGGGGTCCTCCAATGGCACCCTGGGGCCCACTGGTGCCACGCCGGGGTGGTCCAATGTCACCCTGGGGTCTCCTGATGTCACCCTGGGGTCCTGCCGGCGCTACGTGGCCAACGTCACCGGTGGTCCCCGCGCCACCGAGCCGTGCCGTGACGGCTGGGACTACGACCGCAGCATCTACGTGTCCACCATCGTCACCGAGGTGGGGACAGGGACACGGGACAGGGAGGGTGGGGAGGTGACCGTGGGGGGGACAACACCTCTGTGGGGACAGGGAAGGGAGGGGGTCGGATTTGGGATGAGGTGGGAGGGAGGGACAATGGATGGATGGATGGATGGATGGATGGATGGATGATGGATGATGGATGGATGGAGGGATGGATGATGGATGGACGGACGGACGGACGGATGGATGGATGGAGAGGAAGAAAGACAGACTGACACTGCCAGATGTCCCCCTGTCGCGCAGTGGGACCTGGTCTGTGGCTACCGGCAGCTGCGGCAGATGGCCCAGTCCATCTACATGGCCGGGGTCCTGGTGGGCGCCCTGGTCCTGGGGGGCCTCTCAGACAGGTAAAGGCAGCAGAGACCCTCCCTGTGCCTCAGTTTCCCTCTGGGGCTGTGGACAGCTCATCCCCGGTGGCTCCCAGTGGCTCCCAGTGGCTCCCAGTGGCTCCTGTTGCAGGTTTGGGCGCAAGGCCATGCTGATGTGGTCCTACCTGCAGCTGGGGGTGATGGGGACGTGCACGGCCTTCGCCCCCAACTACGCCTCCTACTGCGTCTTCCGCTTCGCCGGCGGGATGGCGCTGTCCGGCTTCGGCCTCAGCATCGCCTGCCTGGGTGAGGGGCCACGGGGACAGCCCGGGGTCATGGGTAGGGACATGGCCGTGGCCATGGAGGGGGACAACGCAATGGTCATGGGAGGGGACATGGCCGTGGCCATGGAGGGGGACAACCCATTGGTCATGGGTGGGGAAAACCATGGATAAGGATGTCCCAATGCCAATGGATGGGGACATGGCCATGGCCATGGAGAGGGACAAGGCAATGACCATGGAAGGGACAACCCAATGGTCATTGGTGGGGGCAACCCAATAGTCATGGGTGGGGACAGCCATGGACAAGGATGTCCCAATGGCAATGGATGGGGACATCCCTGTGGTCATGGGTGGGGAAAACCATGGATAAGGATGTCCCAATGGCAATGGATGGGGACATCCCTGTGGTCATGGGTGGGGAAAACCATGGATAAGGATGTCCCAATGGCAATGGATGGGGACATCCTTGTGGTCATGGATGGGGATCACCCAATGGTCATGGGGGGACGTCCCAGTGTCCATGAGTGAGGACATCACTGTGGCCACGCTGGGGTCGCACGGTGTGGACACGTCTGACCGCGCTGGGGTGGCCGCACTGACCAGGAGGGTCCCAGCTCTGTGGGGACACCCCGAGTGAGCCGTGTCCCCGTGTCCCTGCAGTGGTGGAGTGGATCCCCACGCCCTACCGCGCCATCACCGTGGCCATCACCGGCTTCGCCTACACCCTGGGCCAGATCATCCTGGCCGGGGTGGCCTACGCCGTCCCCCACTGGCGCTGGCTCCAGCTCTCCGTGTCCCTGCCCTTCTTCGTCTTCCTCTTCTACTCCTGGTAGGACCTTGGGGCCCTCGGGGAGGCTGTGGGGATTCGGGGGCGCTGGCCGTGCCTCAGTTTCCCCTCGTGGCTGCAGGTGGTTGGCGGAGTCGGCGCGGTGGTTGGTGCTCTCGGGCAAGGCCGACCGGGCGGTGAAGGTCCTGCAGCGCGTGGCCGCCTTCAACAACCGCAAGGAGGAGGGGGAGAAGATCACGGTCGAGGTCCGGTGGCCCCATGGGGAGGACGGGGGTGGGGGGTGGATTCCAGCCCCCCTCCCAATCTCTCCCGTTTCCCCTCTCCCAGATGTTGAAGTCCAACATGAAGGAGGAGTTGGCAGCTCTGAAATCCTCCTACACCGTCTCCGACCTGGTCCGGACCCCCGTGATCCGCCACATCTTCTTCTGCCTCTCCATCGTCTGGTGGGGCTGGGGGCGAGGAGGGACGGAGGGAGGGATGGACGGACGGACAGACGGATGGATGGATGGATGGATGGATGGATGGATGGATGGATGGATGGATGGATACATGTCTGGTCAGGCTCACAGATGCATGAAGGGAAGGATGGACACCTGGACACTCAACCAGTGACCCCACCCATCCAACTGCCTCCCAACCCTCTCCTCCCTGCCCTGCCATCCCTGTCCCATCCTGTCCCAAGAAGGTGATGTCACCTCAAGGTCCTCCCTCTCCCACCAGGTTCTCCATCAGTTTCTCCTACTACGGCTTGGCCATGGACCTGCAGAACTTCGGGGTCAGCATTTACCTCATCCAGGTGATTTTCGGCGCCGTTGACTTCCCAGCCAAGGTGGTGGTGACCGTGTCCCTGAGCTACATCGGCCGGCGGCTCTCTCTCACGGTGGCCTTGTTCTTGGCGGGGCTGGTGGTCGTGGCCAACATCTTTGTGCCCACAGGTGGGTGTGGAGTGGGAGGAGGGTCTGCATCACTCTGGCCACCAGTGTTCCCAGTTTGTCCTTGTGTCTTCCTCCACATTTCCATCCCTCTGTCCAACCACTGACCTCCCCATCCCTCCATCCTCCCTCCCTGCCCCGTCCCCACCTGCCCGAGGTGTCCCCACGTGGTGGTCAAACCCTGTTGTCCCCATGTCCCCCCACCCTGTGTCCGAGCCCCGGTGTCCCCGCAGAGCTGCAGACGGTGCGCACGGCGCTGGCCGTCATCGGCAAGGGCTGCCTGTCCGCCTCCTTCAACTGCGTCTTCCTCTACACCACCGAGCTCTACCCCACGCCCATCAGGTACCGCCCCTGCCCCGCTTCCCCGCGGTGGGGCAGGTCCCTGTCACCCCTCCCCGGACACCCCCAGGACGCTCCGTGCCCCCCGTGACCCTCCCGGCGTCGCAGGCAGACGGGGCTGGGCTTCGGCAGCACCATGGCGCGCGTGGGCGGCATCGTGGCGCCGCTGGTGAAGATGATGGACGAGTACTACCCCTTCCTGCCCCCCGCCGTCTACGGGGTGGCCCCCGTGGTGGCAGCCGTGGCGGCCGCGTTCCTGCCCGAGACCCTCAACACGCCCCTGCCCGACACCATCGAGGAGGTGGAGAACAGGTGGGGGATGATGGATGATGGTTGGATGATGGATGGATGGATGGATGATGGATGATGGTTGGATGATGGACAATGGATGGTTAAGTGATGGATGATACATGGGTGGTTGCATGGACAACGTGGATGGATGGATGGATGATGGATGGATGGATGATGGATGGATGGATGGATGATACATGGATGGTTGCATGGACAGTCGATGGATGATGGACAACCCCAGCCATGAAGAGGTTCAGGGTCTAGGGACCCCTGGCTGCATTGAGGGACAGGTGGACGAGAACCTTGGCAGAAGAATGAGCTCTGTGATTGGCTGAATGCTTGGCCTGGGCCACTTTCCCTTTACCATGACTCTCCTCTTCTTCCTCCTCCATCTCCTCCTCCTCTTCCTCCTCCTCCCTGCAGGACCAAGCGGAAGCCAGCAGCTGACCCCAAGGAGAAGATCGCGCTCCAGCCCCAGGACGGGCCCCCCCTGAAGGAGGCCTGAGGGACCCTGGGGGTGGGCACAGCGCTCCAGCCCTGGCCACCAGTGGCCACCACCCCAACGGTCCCCACAGCTCGAGGGGGAGACCTCGGTCGTGACTGGTGACCTCCTGCTGGGACGGGGACATCTGGGCAGGAATAAAACAGCTCTGGTGGGGACACGTCTCGGGGTCTTATCTGTGCCCCCCCAGATCACGTCTGAGTCACTTCCCATGGGACAATGCCCAAGAATTATGTCCAATAAGGGGACAACCAAGCACCCCTTTTCTTGGAGGTCATCTCCACAGGAGGACACCCCACAACCTCGTCCGTCGATGCGGTGGCACCCAAGACCCCCATTTTTAGTGACACCTCATAACCTCGTCCAACAGGACGCTGCCCGAGAACCGTGTCCCCGAAGTCACCTCAGATAAGGTGGCACCAAGAGCACCACGCTGGCTGTCACCTCCAACAAGATCATCCCCAATAACCCCAAACCAGCTCTTGTGCCGGTAGAGGCGTCCCCCAAATCCCAGAGAAGCTGAGGAAGCACCAGGAGCTCCCAATCCCACCCCGCCCCCTTGCCGCGATGCCCCTTCCCCGATTTCCGTCCCCCGAAGCCACCCCGGCCCTTGCTCCCATTTCTGACGTGTCCCTTGGCCCCGTCACCTCCCCATCAAAAATTAACCCCCGGCGGGGAATGCGCTGACCCAGGCAGGGCCACCTCTGTCAGCACCTTTCGGTCGCCTTTTGACCACTGAAATCACTAAAATTTAACCCAAAGGTGCCACCGAAGGCTGGACATTGGTCCATGCCAGGAGACGTCCTCTCCCTGCGGTGCCCACCCTGGTGCCACCCAACCTCCTGGACAGCCCCTCTCCAAAACCTGACTTTTCCCCTCAAAAAAAGCAATGCTGTGGAATAATAATTAAAAGGAATTAGGTATTCCTCGTCTTCCTGCCCCAAATAACTCCAGTTTTGCCCCACTTTGGGGGACTTTTGCCCCAAAAACACCTTTTTTTTTTACCCCTGGATGCCTTTACGCTGCACTTTTGCCTTCTTCTTCTGGAAAACCACCAAAAACCCCCCAGAGATGTCAAACATTAACCCAAACCACCCTTGGGTTGGGTTATATAGGAGACCACCCCTGGGTGCTGCTGCAGGGAAGACACCGCGTGGGACAGGGAGGCATTTTTGGGGTGAAACCCCTGAAATCCAGGGCTCTGCATGGCTGTGGGGCGTTCCCAGGCCCCGGCGGTGGCAAGATGGCTTTCGCCAGCCTCCTGGAGCATGTGGGGGGCATGGGGCGCTTCCAGGTGCTCTCGGTGCTGCTCCTGTCCCTGCCCGTGCTGATGATGGCCAGCCACAACCTCCTGCAGAACTTCACGGCCGCCACCAGCGACCACTGGTGCCGCCCGCGCCCGGAGGCCAACGGCAGCGGCCTGGACCCCGAGGCCCTGCTGAGGGTCTGGGTCCCCCGCGGGGAGCGCTGCCGGCGCTTTGTGGCACCCCAGTGGTGGCTTTTGGAGGCCAACGCTTCGGAGCCCAACAGCTCCTGGCCGGAGACGGAGCCGTGCGGCGATGGTTGGACCTACGACCGCAGCGTCTTCACCAGCACCATCATCACTGAGGTGGGACGGTGGTGGTGGGGTTTGGGGGGATCTGGTGGGATTTTCACCCAATCCCGTGGGTGGGTCCCACCTGGAGGCACCAGCAAAGGGTCTGCTGCCAACACAGCATTGACCTCTCCCAACTGGAGCATCTTCCCCGCTCAACCTTCGGTGGAGATGCTCAACACCAGGAAACCCCAGGAGGGATGGGGAGGTGGTGACCATCCACAAGGGGGTCACAAGGGGGTCACAAAGGGTCACAAGACCCTTGGATGGACCTTCCAACCACAGCAATGCTGGCAAGGGTGGACCAAGCATTCAGTGTCACATTTCCATTGGCCGTTCATTGACCCTCTTGGCCACCACGGGCGGTTTTGGGGTTTGGGGGGCCAGAGGGGACCCTGCTCTCTGTCCCACCCCCTGTCCTCGTCCCTCGGCAGTGGGACCTGGTGTGCAGCTCCCGGGGGCTCAAGCAGCTGGCGCAGTCGCTCTACATGGCCGGAGTCCTGGTGGGCGGCCTCTTCGGGGGGCTCTCGGACAGGTGAGGGGGGCCCCGGCAGGCAGGTGGGGTGGCACTGGGGGGGTCCTCTCACCTTCTCTGCCTCCTCTTCATTTCCTCCTCCTCCTCTTCCACTCTTCCTCACCCTCTTTTCCTTCTCATCCCCTTTTTCTCCTCACTCCCCTCCATCTTCCTCCCTTCCTCACCCCTCTTCCCTCTCCTCGCCCCTTTTTCCTCCTCTTCACCCCCTCTTCCTTCCCCTGCCCCCTTCTTCATCCTTCTTGTCTCCTTCTTCTCTCCCTTTTCTCCTCCTCTTCTCTTCCTCCTCCTCCTCCTCCACCCCATTTCTTCATCCTCACCCCCTGCTGCTGCTCCTCCTCCTCCTCCGTGCCCAGGTTCGGCCGCCGCTCGGTGCTCACCTGGTGCTACCTGCAGATGGCCGCCATGGGCACCTGCTCGTCCTTCGCGCCCACCTTCAGCGTGTACTGCCTGTTCCGCTTCCTGACGGGCATGGCCTTCTCGGGCATCGTCCTCAACAGCGTCTCCCTCTGTACGTCCCCCCCGGCCCGGTTCCTGCCCTGGGCGCCCGCCTGGGTGGGCTCCGTGTCCCCCTGAACCTGTGGGAGCCATCCCAGTGTCCATGTCCTCCAGACAACTGGGGGTCACCATGTCCTCCAGACTCCATCCTGGGGGTCACCATGTCCTCCAGGCACCATCCTGGTGGTCTCCATGTCCTCCAGACTCCATCCTGGGGGTCACCATGTCCTCCAGACACCTGGGGGTCTCCATGTCCTCCAGGCACCATCCTGGGGGTCTCCATAACGCCCCTGTACCTGTAGGGGCCTGTCTGGTGGTCTTCATGCCCCCTGGCACCTGTGGGTCCATGTCCTCCTTGTACCCGCCCTGGGCTCTATGTTCCACTGGGATACCTGTGGGCACCATCCCGGTGGTCTCCATTTCCCCTGGGCACCATCCTGGTGGTCTCCATGTCCCCTGGGGACCATCCCAGTGGTCTCCATGTCCCCCAGACACCATCCCAGTGGTCTCCCCATCCCCTGGGCACCACCTTGGTGGTCTCCCCATCTCCTGGGCACCATCCTGGTGGTCTCCCTGTCCCGTGGGCACATCCCGGTGGTCTCCCCATCCCGTGGGCACAATCCCGGTGGTCTCCCCATCCCCTGGCGTGCCGGTGGGCACTCCCAGGTGGTCCCCACGTGCCGTGTCCCGCAGCAATCGAGTGGATGCCAACGCACATGCGGGCGCTGGTGGGCACCTTCATGGGCTACTGCTACACCACCGGGCAGTTCCTGCTGGCCGGCGTCGCCTTCGCCGTCCCCGACTGGCGCCAGCTGCAGCTCGTGGTGTCCCTGCCCTTCTTTGGCTTCTTCCTCTACTCCTGGTGAGGAGGAGGAAGGAGGAGGGATGGATGTAGGGAGGGAGGGATGGACGGATGGACGGATGGACAGACGGATGGATGGGTGGATGGATGGATGCATGGATGATGGATGGATGGATGATGGATGGATGGAGGGATGGATGATGGATGGATGATGGATGATGGCTGGATGGATGGATGGATGGATGATGGATGGATGGAGGGATGGATGATGGATGGATGATGGATGATGGCTGGATGGATGGATGGATGGATGATGGATGGATGGAGGGATGGATGATGGATGGATGATGGATGATGGCTGGATGGATGGATGGATGGATGATGGATGGAGGGATGATGGATGGATGGATGGATGGGAAGCAGAGATGGACATGTGGAGGCAGGGATGGTGCGATGAATGGGGGGATGGACAGCTGGACTTATGGCTTGATGGAAGGATGGTGGCATGAATCCTCAGCAGTGGGGGGTGCATGGACAGGTGGGCAGAAGGAAAGGATGAAGAAATCCTCCAGGAACAGCTGGGTGGACAGTGGGGACACGGCATGATGACCAGAGGGACGGGGGGACATTGCTGGTGGGATTGAGGTGGGACAGTGACAAAGCTTGGGCTCCTGCCCCGTCCCCTCCCACGCAGGTGGCTGACAGAGTCAGCGCGGTGGCTCGTCATGGTGGGGAGGTCCCACCAGGCCCTGCGGGAGCTCCAGAAGGTGGCCAGGATCAACGGGAAGAAGGAGGAAGGGGACAAGCTCGACATAGAAGTAAAAGGCTCCGTCCGGGTCCCCCAGGGTGTCCTTGGGGTGTTTATAGGGGTCCCTTGAATATCCACCCCATGGACAACTGTCCATCCATGGTCACTGTATCCATCATCCCTCATCCACCCTGGCCACCATCCACTCATCTTCATCATCTCAATGACATCCATCATCTCCATCTCCACCCATCCCGTCCATCCCCTCACCCATCCATGAATCCACCACCTCCATCCCACCATCCACCCATGACCGCCCTTCCCCTCTTCCACCCATCCTGCCCAGACCTGCCCAGGGGGTCCCCATTGCCCCACCCCCATCCCAGAGCCCCCCCTGTCCCTCCAGACCCTGAGGTCCCACATGGAGAAGGAGATGACGTCATCGAAGACCCGCCACACCGTGGTTGACCTGGTCCGGACGCCGGTCCTGCGCCGCATCTCCTTCTGCCTCTGCTTCGTGTGGTACGGCCGGCGGTGGAGGACACCAGTGGGTGGTTGTCCATCCCCTTCCACGTCCTTGACCCCCCATGCCACCCCACACCTCCCCACAGGTGACATTTTCACCGCCTCTCCCCCCTCGTGGCCCAGGTTCTCCACCAGCTTCGCCTACTACGGGCTGGCCATGGACCTGCAGAACTTTGAGTTCGACATCTACGTGATCCAGCTGATCTTCGGCGCCGTGGACATCCCGGCCAAGCTGGTGTCCATCCTCACCATCACCTACGTGGGGCGCCGCTTCACCCAGGCCGTCGCCCTCATCCTGGCCGGCTTGGCCATCCTGGCCAACGTCTTGGTGCCACGAGGTGAGGCCAGGGGTGGTGGCAGTGGTGTCCCCTCATCTCCAACCTCCCTGTGAGGGCCCGGACCAGCTCAACCCCTTGATGGAACCCCCAGGTTGGGTCATTTTAGCTTTTCATGGGGGATTTACCCCAAATCCTGATGGTTGGGGTCTTCTCTTGTCAAGTGAGCTCAGCCCAAGTAGGGACACTGAGGTGACTCCCAGGTGTCCCGCTGTCCCCGCAGACCTCCGGACACTCCGGACAGCCCTGGCCGTCTTTGGGAAAGGTTGTTTGGCCGCGTCCTTCAACTGCGTCTTCCTCTACACGGGCGAGCTCTACCCCACGGTGATCCGGTAAGGAGGGGGCGTGGCCGGGGGCGTGGCCAGGTGGTCCCTCAGGGTGGTCCCTCAGGGTGGTCCCTCAGGTGCCTTCAGGTGCCCTCAGGTGCCCTCAGGTGCCCTCAGGAGCTCTGCGTGTCCCACAGGCAGACGGGCATGGGCTTGGCCAACACCATGTCGCGGCTGGGCAGCATCATGGCGCCGCTGGTGAAGATGGCGGGCGAGCTCTTCCCGGCGCTGCCCTTCCTCATCTACGGCGCCGCGCCCGTGGTGTCGGGGCTGGTGGCCGTCTTCCTGCCCGAGACACGGAACATAGCCCTGCCTGAGACCGTGGAGGAGGTGGAGGGAAGGTGGGCTGGAGGGGATGAGGGGATGGATGGGTGGTGGGATGGGATGGAGGAGGGGGAGGGACAGAGAGAACATGGTTGAATGCTGGGGTGGAGGGATGGAGATTGGATGGATGATGGATGGATGGATGGATGATGGATGGATGGATGGATGGATGGATGGATGGATGGACAGATGCCCATCCCAGCACCACGAACACTTCCCTGTTCCCTCCAACACCCCTCATCCCTCCCTCCCCACCAGGACACAATCCCAGAAGGATGAATCCCGAGATCTCCAGGTCCCGCTCCAGCCCACCCAATCCAGCAACTCCACAGGGCCCCGTTAGTGCCACCCCCACCAGGGGACCCCCAAAATCCTCAGCCCTCGATGCTCCCGCCGGATGAATGAGCAGGATTTGGGGGGTGGAGGGGCTTCAAACCCCCCCAAAGAGCAAGGGGACAGCAGTGACCACAAGGACCGGGCTGTCCCCTCCCTGCAGAGCAGGGGGGACACTGGGCCCCCCCAGATCTCCGCGTCGAGGACGGTTCGGCCGCGCTGGAATAAAAAACAATAAAAGCAAAGCTCGTGTGAAATGCGGCCGGTGGGGGCGGGGCGGGGTGGGGGTGGGGGTTGTTTTCCCACGGCCGCGGGGGGTCCCGCGCAGCCGGGCCCGTCCCGCCCCGAAGGAAAACACGGGAGCCAGCGGGACACCGCGGCCTCGGCACCGCGGGACCCCCGGCCCCTCCCGCTCGGCCGGGGATGGAAATGCCGGGAGAGAGTGCGGGAAGGATCTGGGATCCCGAGGATCGGGGATCCGGGGGATTGGGGACCCCAGGGATTTGGGATCCCTAGGATCGGGGATCCGGGGGATTTGGGATCCTGAGGATCGGGGATCCTGAGGATTGGGGATGCTGAGGACTGGGGACTCCAGGGATTTGGGACCCTGAGGATTGGGTACCCCAGGGATTGGGGACCCCAGGGACTGGGGATCACGGAGATTGGGGACCCCAAGGAGTGGGGATCCTGAAGATCAGAAATCCTGGGGATTGGGCATCCCAGGAATCCCCATGTCCTGTTGCCCAGGGATCCCAAGGACTCACAGACCCTGTTCCTGGACACCCCAAAGACCCAGATCCCAAGGTTTCAGGTGTTTGGATGTCCAGGGATCCCAGGGACACAAGATCCAGGCACCAGGGTGCCCAGACATCCCAAGAGTTCAGGGATCTCGAGGACTCAGGGATCCCACGGATCCTGGGGATCCCAAGGACCAAGGACTCCGGTGTCCAAGGATCCAGGATCCCAGGGATCCCAAGGACTCGGATGCCTGAGTGTCCAGGGATCCAGAATCCTGGGATCCAGAGCACCCAGGCATCCCAAGGATCCCAACCCTGAGGGCACAGGGATGTCACTGCCCCAGATGTCCCAGAAGTCCCCAGGACGCAGAGATCCCGAGGATCCACGTGTCCTCACACCCTGCCCACGCCAATCCGGGTGTCCGGCTCCCCCCGTCACCCCCCACATCCCCCCCATCCCGCCCACGCTCCGCTGCCCCCGCCGCCCTCCTGCCCGGGGTCCAAGGGGCTCCCAGGGACGCGGTTCAGGGCCCCCGGGACTTTGCCTCATCAATGATCCACCCCGGAGGGGCAGCACGGGCCAGAGGGGGCCGGGGGTCCCCGTCTGCCGGGGGCTGGGGGCTCCCAGGGCGAGGAAGAGGATGGGTTGGGTGGGATGGAGGGGCAGCCCCGGGGTGTCCCGGGTGGGCCCGGCGTGGTCGGCACCGGCGTTTCCGCCCCGGGAGCGTCTCCACCGATCCATGGCGGGTTCCGGAGTCAAACGTTAACCGGGACCGGGGTGGCCTTAAATAGGAGCGGGGCCAGGCCGGGGGCAGGGCAGGGCCATGGGGTGGTAGCGGCCGGCCGAGGGCTCGGGGCAGCGGCATCGGGTGCTGGCAGAGGCCGGGAGGCACCGGCAGTGACCGACAGGTGAGTGATCAATAGAGATCGATTGGCTGGTCACGGAGAGCCGGCGAGGTCAGGAGAGAGATCAAAGCTCAGTGGATCGATCGATGGAGAGAAGGGCTGATCAATGGGGATTATAGGTCAGGAGGTTGATCAATAGAGATATTTAAACAAATAAATCAACAAATAGGGGGATTAAAGGTCAATAAATCAATCAAGAAAGCAATTAAAGGTCAATCAATCAATCAACAGGAAAATTATAGGCCGAGAGACTGATCAATAGAGAGGTTAGGATAGATACATTGATCAATAGATTATAAATCAATAACTGGATCATTAGAATGATTGATGGAGAAGGAGATCATTATTCTGATTGGTCAATCATGGTTCAATAGATTCGTCAATAGAAAAATAGAGACCAATTGGATGATCAATTAATAGATTAGAGATCAGTTTATTGGTACTAGAGATACACAGACTAACAGATGGATCAATAGAGATCCTTCTAGATTAATAGATTGATTAATCAAGCCATCAGTAGATTAACAGATCAATCAATAGGTTAACAGATCAATAACAGAAACATATGGATCAATAAACTAATACATAAAGAGATCATGGACTAATTATGATCAACATATTATAGATAAGGGGTGTCTAATGATCAATAATGTTACAACAGAGAAAGAACTTGCTGTATTGATTGGCAGGGGGACCAATAGATCAATCAATAGGCTGATTATCAGCAGAAAATCAATTTTTTGATAGACTAAGGATCAATAAACGGGCAAAGAGAGCAGAGAAATCCATTGATCCATGGATTGATCGATTGACCGAGGGGTGAAGGAGGGGCTGGGGGGGGCGGGACCGAGGGAGGGACAGAGGGACGGCCGGACGGACAGAGGGACGGCCGGAGCCCGGACAGTCCCGAGAGTCCGAGCCGGAGCCTGGGAGCGGCCGAGGGAGGAGGAGGAGGAGGAGGAAGAGGAGGAGGAGAGCAGGTGGGGATCGATTGATCGTGAGGGGTCTGAGGGATTGGTGGGACGGGGGAGAGAGGATTGATTGATTGATGGATTGATTAATAGATTGATTAATAGGGAAGGGATGGGGGGAGCTGAGAGCAAGAAATTATCAGTGATTGATTGATTGGTCAATCAATAAAGTGAGAGTGATGGTGATAGGTGGATTGATGAATAGATAATGGATCAATATATTGATAGATCAGAGAGACAGATTGATAGACTGATCTATCAACAGATCGATCAATAGAGATCAATAGATTGATAGAATGGTCAGCAGATTGATCAGTCAGACTGATAGTTAAATCCATTGATCAAGGGATGGATCAATCTATCAACACATCAGTTGATTAATCTGATAGACTAAAAAGTTGATTGATTGATTGATTGATTGATTGATTGAACAATCGATAGGTGATCAATAGACAGTCTTTGTGCCATTCTCAGCCCGTCCCTTGGCCAAGCTGGGGACTGTCCATCATCCTCCATCCACCCTCAGCCACTCCGTGTCCTTCCTCCACCCCTGGGGCCAACCCTCCTCCTCCTCCCTCCACCCCTGGCCACCCCTCTGCTGACCACCCAGACCACGCCTGACCTCTCCTGACCCCTCCTTTGGTCCATCCCTGGGTCTGTCCATCCACTGACCACCCCCTGGCCGTTCCCTGACCACCTTTGGCTGTTCCCTGACCACCCTTTGGCCATTCCGTGACCACCCTTGGCCATTCCCTGACCCCCCTTTGGCCATTCCCTGACCCTTTGCCCATTCCCTGAGCACCCTTTGTCCAATCCCTGACCCTTTGCCCATTCCCTGACCCTTTGGCCATTCCCTGACCCTTTGCCCATTCCCTGACCCTTTGGCCGTTCCCTGACCACCTTTGGCCATTCCCTGACCACCCTTTGCCCATTCCCTGACCACCTTTGGCCATTCCCTGACCCTTTGGCCATTCCCTGACCACCCTTTGCCCATTCCCTGACCCTTTGGCCATTCCCTGACCCTTTGGCCATTCCCTGACCCTTTGGCCAATCCCTGACCCTTTGGCCATTCCCTGACCCTTTGGCCATTCCCTGACCACCTTTGGCCATTCCCTGACCCTTTGGCCATTCCTTGACCACCCTTTGGCCATTCCCTGACCACCCTTTGGCCATTCCCTGACCACCCCTCTCTCCATCCCTCCCCTTTCCTCCTCTTCCCACCCGCAGCTGACCTGGGCCCTGTCCAGCTCCGTCCCCCTCCGGCCATGTCCTTCGTGGAGCTGCTGTCCCGCCTGGGTGGCATGGGCCGCTTCCAGGTGACCTACGTGGCCGCGCTGGCCGTCCCGCTGCTCATGCTGGCCAGCCACAACCTCCTGCAGAACTTCACCGCCGGCATCCCCGAGCACCACTGCCGGCCCCGGCCCGTGGCCAACGCCACCGCGGCCGACGTCCCCCTGCTCGTGTCCATCCCCTGGGACGGCCACCGCCGGCCCCAGAGCTGCCGCCGCTACGTGGAGCCCCAGTGGCACCTCTTGGACGTCAACGGCTCGGCCAACGGCACGGCCGCCGAGGCGGCCACCGAGCCGTGCCACGACGGCTGGACGTACCTGGATGGCATCTTCACCGACACCATCGTCACCGAGGTGAGGGAGGGTGACGCCCCAGGGTCCCTCAGGGCAGGGGGATGCCGGTGTCCCTGTGGTGTCCCCCATGGTGACCCCTATGGTGACCCTTGTGGTCACCTTGTGGTGTCCTGGTGGTGACCCCAGTGGTGTCCCCATGGTGTCCCCGTGATGTCCCCATGGTGACCCCCATGGTGACCCCCGTGGTGACCCCGTGTCCCCTCCCGGTGGCAGTGGGACCTGGTGTGTGACTCCAAGAAGCTGAGGCAGGTGGCCCAGTCCATCTACATGGCCGGGATCCTGCTGGGCTCCAGCCTCTTCGGGATCCTCTCCGACAAGTGCGTGCTTGCCCGGCGCTGGACTGGGAGGAACTGGGAGGAACTGGGAGGAGCTGGGAGGAGCTGGGAAGGGGGAGGGGAGTGTTGTGTTCTCTGCTCCCTCTGGCCCCCACTGTCCTGGTGTCCCCAGGGTGGGGCTGTCCCAGCACGGGTTGTCCCCCTCTGTCCCCACGTCATTCCCAGTGTTCCCAGTGCCCGTATTCTCACCCCAGTGTTCCCAGTGCCTTGTGCGCCCATCCCAGTGCCCACAGCCCTGTCCCAGTGACCCCAGCACACCACATCCCCCTTCCCAGTACCCACGTCCCCAACCCAGCGTCTCCAGAACCCACCATTCTCCCATCCCAGTGCCTCCAGTTCCCCAAATCCCCCATCCCAGTGCTCCCAGTGCTCCCAGTGCCGTGTCCCCGCAGGTTCGGGCGCCGGGCGCTGCTCACCTGGTGTTACCTGCAGCTGGGGGCGACGGGGGTGGGCACGGCCGCCGCCCCCTCGCTCCTGGTCTACTGCGTGTGCCGCTTCCTGACCGGGCTGGCCATGGCCGGCGTGTCCCTCAACTCCGCCTCCCTCTGTGAGCCGCCGCCCCAGGGACCCCCGGGGAGGGGCGGGACCCCTCAAACCAGGGAGGGACCCACACATCCACCCCAAAACCCAATGACCTATGGGAGGATCCCAACCCCATTGACTCAACCCCATTGACCCCACCCAACTCCATTGACCCAACCCCATTGACCCAACCCTATTGACCCAACCCAACTCCATTGACCCAACCCAACCCCACTGACCCAACCCCACCTCATTGACCCAACCCCATTGACCCCACCCAACTCCATTGACCCAACCCCAAACCCCACTGACCCAACCCCACTGACCCACGTGAGGAACCCAACCCCCAAGCCCACCCAGGGCCCCCCGGGCCAGCCCCTGACCCCGCGGCCGTGCCGCAGGCATGGAGTGGATCCCGACGGAGGCGCGGGCCGTGGTGGGGACCATCAATGGCTACTGCTACACCCTGGGCCAGTTCGTGCTGGCGGCCGCGGCCTTCGGGCTCCCGCGCTGGCGGCAGCTCCAGCTCGCCGTGTCCCTGCCCTTCTTCGTCTTCTTCTTCTACTCCTGGTATGGGACCCCCCAATGCCCACCCCCCGTGTCCACCCCTGGTGTCCACCCCTGATGCCCACCCCCGGTGTCCATCCTTGGTGTCCAGTCTTGGTGTCCACCCCCGGTATCCACCCCCAGTGTCCACCCCTGGTGTCCATCCCTGTCCTGATTTTGGGAGTCCAGGGTCTTTAAAGGGTTGGAAAGACCCTTCTTCAAATGTTGGGGTAGCCACTGACCTTCCTCTGACCTCTCTGTCTGGGGTCTTTTGTGGTGGAGAGGGGTAGAGGGACGCCCAGATCTTCCCCCAACATCCCCAGTCCGGGGTCCTTTGGGGTGCAGGGACCCCCAGTTCTCCCCCCCAGTCCGGGGTGTTTTGGGGTGCAGGGACCCCCAGTTCCCCCCTCCCAGTCCGGGGTCCTTTGTGGTGCAGGGACCCCCAGTTCCCCCCTCCCATTCTGGGGTTCTTTGGGGTGCAGGGACCCCCAGTTCCCCCCTCCCAATCCCGGGTCCTTTGGGGTGCAGGGACCCCCAGTTCCCCCCTCCCAGTCCGGGGTCCTTGGGGAGGGTGGGAGGTGCTGGGAACCCTCCAAACATCTGGATCCCCCCCAGACCCCCCAGTGTGGGATGCTTTGGGGGCGGTGGGAGGCCGGGGGGGTTCGGGACCCCCGGTGCCACCTCGCCCCCTCCCCAGGCTGTACGTGGAGTCCGCGCGCTGGCAGGTGACCTCGGGCAGACCCGACCTGGCCCTGCGGGGGCTCCGCAAGGTCGCGCGGGTCAACGGCAGGAAGGAGGAGGGGGACAAGCTCAGCGAGGAGGTGGGCAGGGGTCTGGGGGCCGCCCAGATCCCTCTGAACCCCCAAATCCCGCCTTGATCTGCCCCTAAATCCCCCCAAGTTCGCCGGTAACTCCCACTCCATCCCTGACCCGCCCCGATCTTGGGGGATCCCTCAAATCCTCCCCTGTTCTCCCAATGATCCCCCCATTTCCTCTCTCCTCGACCCCAACCCCTCAAAACCCCTCGGATCCTCCCCAAAACCCCTCGGGTCCCCCCAAAACCCCTCGGGTCCCCCCAAAACCCCTCGGATCCCCCAAAACCCCTCGGATCCCCTCCCCTCCCCAGCCCCCCGGAGCCCTCCCCGGGGCTCTCCCCGCAGACCCCGGGCTCTCCCGCAGGCGCTGCGGGCTCTGGTGCGCCGGGAGCCGCCGCTGCCCGGCGGGGCCGTGGCCGCGCTCGTCCGGACCCCCGGCATGAGGACGGTGTCGTGCGGGGTCTCCTTCGTCTGGTGCGTCCTGAAAAAAACACCTCTTTTGGGGGAAAAAACCGCTATTTGGGGGAAAAAACCGTTTGGGGGGAAAAAACCCCACATTTTGGGGAAATAACTCATCAAGTTTTGGACAAAAATCCCTGATTTTGGGCGCAAAGAAACAGTTTTTGAGGGAAAACTTCCCCTCTCCTTTTGGGGAAAATCTCAATTTTTTGGGGAAACTCCTTCATTTGTTGGGAAAAAACATGTTTTGGGGGAAAAACACAAATGGGGGAAAAAAAACCCCCACCTTTATTGGGAAAACAACCTCACCTTTTGGGCAAGAAACACCTTTGGGGATCACAACCCTTTTTTTTGGGAAAAAACCCCCACACCTTTGGGGGTAAATTTCCACATATTTTTGGGGAAAAAAAACCACTTTTTGGGTCAAACCTACAACTTTTGGGGCAAAAAAATCATCTCCTGGGACCACAGCACACTGGGACAAACCTCCATCTTTTGGGACAACCTCCATCTTTTGGGACAACCTCCACCTTTGGGGGAAAACTCCATCTTTTGGAGTCCCAGCCTCCCATTCTTTGGGCAAGAAACACCTTTGGGGATCACAACCTTTTTGGGAAAAAACCCCCACACCTTTGGGGGTAAATTTCCACATATTTTTGGGGAAAAAAACCCACTTTTTGGGTCAAACCTACAACTTTTGGGGCAAAAAAATCATCTCCTGGGACCACAGCACACTGGGACAAACCTCCATCTTTTGGGACAACCTCCATCTTTTGCAGTCCCAGCCTCCCATTTTGGGTGGTTTTGGTGCTGATTTGTCGGATTTTGGTGAAGGTTCTCCACCAGCTTCGCCTACTACGGGCTGGCCATGGACCTGCAGGGCTTCGGCTTCAACGTGTACCTGAGCCAGCTGGTGTTCGGCGCCGTGGACATCCCGGCCAAGCTGCTCTCCGTGCTGGTCATCTCCTGCCTCGGCCGGCGCCTGGCCCAGGGCGGCGCCCTGGCGCTCGCCGGCCTCTGCATCCTGGCCAACATCTTCGTGCCCAGCGGTGGGAGCGGCCACCGGAGCGAGGGACGGGACAGGGGAGGGACACGGGGGAGAATGGGGTGGAGGGATGGAGGAGAAGGGGGTGGAGAGAGAGAGGAGAATGTGATGGAGGATGGAGGATGGAGAAGAATGTGATGGAGAAGAATGGGGTGGAGGAGAACGGGATGGAGGGATGGAGGAGAATGGGGTGGAGGAGAATGGAGTTGAGGAAAAGAGGAGAGAGGGATGGAGGATGGAGGAGAATGGGGTGGAGGAGAATGGAGTTGAGGAAAAGAGGAGAGAGGGATGGAGGATGGAGGAGAATGGGGTGGAGGAGAATGGGATGGAGAAGAATGGGATGGAGGACAATAGGATGGAGGAAGGGCTGATGAAGGACAATGAGGTGGAGGGATGATGGAGGGAAAGAGAAAGGGAGGGAAGGATGGAAAGATGGATGGATGGTGGATGGATGATGGATGGGTGGATGGATGGATGACAGTGGGATGAAGGGATGATGAAGGAGGAATGGTCATTGACGAATGGTCATTGGATGGGGGAAGGGTCACAGGGGGGTGCAGGGTCACTGCAGGGGTGAAGGATGACCGGTGGGTGGACACTGAGGAGCCGTGGGTGATGTGTCCGGCCGGCCCCCAGAGCTGCAGACGCTGCGCATGGCCTTCGCCGTGGTCGGGAAGGGCGCCTTGGCCGCCTCCTTCAACTGCGCCTACATCTTCTCCGGGGAGCTCTTCCCCACCGTCATCAGGTGGGTGGGGTCACCCCAGCCTGCTCCTACCCATCCATGTGCAGCCCCACCTTCCACCAACCCAACCCTCCATGAACCCAACCAAATCATCAACCCAACCACTCATCAACCAAACCATTGATCACACCATCCATCCGTCCATCCATCCATCCATCCATCCATCATCCATCATCCATCCATCATCCATCATCCATCCATCATCCATCATCCATCCATCATCCATCATCCATCCATCATCCATCATCCATCCATCATCCATCATCCATCCATCATCCATCATCCATCCATCATCCATCATCCATCCATCATCCATCATCCATCCATCATCCATCATCCATCCATCATCCATCATCCATCCATCATCCATCATCCATCCATCATCCATCATCCATCCATCATCCATCATCCATCCATCATCCATCATCCATCCATCATCCATCATCCATCCATCATCCATCATCCATCCATCATCCATCATCCATCCATCATCCATCATCCATCCATCATCCATCATCCATCCATCATCCATCATCCATCCATCATCCATCATCCATCCATCATCCATCATCCATCCATCATCCATCATCCATCCATCATCCATCATCCATCCATCATCCATCATCCATCCATCATCCATCATCCATCCATCATCCATCATCCATCCATCATCCATCATCCATCCATCATCCATCATCCATCCATCATCCATCATCCATCCATCATCCATCATCCATCCATCATCCATCATCCATCCATCATCCATCATCCATCCATCATCCATCATCCATCCATCATCCATCATCCATCCATCATCCATCATCCATCCATCATCCATCATCCATCCATCATCCATCATCCATCCATCATCCATCATCCATCCATCATCCATCATCCATCCATCATCCATCATCCATCCATCATCCATCATCCATCCATCATCCATCATCCATCCATCATCCATCATCCATCCATCATCCATCATCCATCCATCATCCATCATCCATCCATCCATCATCATCCATCCATCATCCATCCATCCCTGTGTCCATCCCTGTGTCCGTCTGTCCCACCGCGTGGCTCTCCCGGCACAGGCAGACGGGGATGGGCCTGGGGGGCACCATGGCCCGCGTGGGGAGCATGGTGGCCCCCCTGGTGCGCATGATGGCCGACGTGACGCCGGTGCTGCCCCTCGTCATCTACGGCGCCGCGCCCATCGTCTCGGCCATCGCCACCTGCTTCCTGCCCGAGACCCGCAACGCGCCCCTGCCCGAGACCGTCAAGGACGTGGAGAGGCGGTGAGGACACCCCAAAACCCCCCGAGACCCCCAGAGAGCCCCCCGAGCCTTCCCTGGGGGGAACATCCCTGTTTTGGGGTGGGATTGGCCCTTGGAGGAACCCAGGAGCTTTGGGGTTGAAGGACTGGGGTTGGGATGATGGTTTGGGGTCGGGATGAAGGTTTTCGGACTGGTTTGGAGGTTTTGGGTTGGGTTGGGAAGAAGGTTTTGCAGTTGGGATGGAGGTTTTGGGGGTGGGATGAAGGTCTTGGGTTGGGATGGAGGTTTTTGGGTTGGGATGAAGGTTTTGGGGTTGGGATTAAGGATAGAGGTTGGGATGAAGGTTTTGGGGTTGGGTTGGAGGTTTGGGGTTTGAGATGAAGGTTTTGGGGTTGGTTTGGAGGTTTGGGGTTTGAGATGAAGGTTTTGGGGTTGGGATGAAGGTTTGGGGTTGGGATTAAGGATTGAGGTTGGGATGAAGGTTTTGGGGTTGGGTTGGAGGTTTGGGGTTTGAGATGAAGATTTTGGGGTCGGGACGGAGGTTTTGGGGTCAGGAAGGGTTGAGAGTTTTGGGAACACCTGAACATTTTGGGGAGAAAGCTGAAGGTTTTGGGAAGGGTTGAAGGTTCTGGGATTGGGAAGGACGAAAATTTTGGGGATTTTGGGGAGCGACTGGGAGCTTTCGGGGTCCCTCCAGGGCGGGTCACCTCGAGGACGACGTCGCCGTTGTCCCCCTGAGCAGCACCAAGAGCAAGGACGGCGCCTGAGGGGGGATTTGGGACCCCCGGGGGGATTTTGGGGCCGGGACCCCCCTGGAGCTGCCCCAGCCCCTCCCCCCCGGGTTATTTATTCAATCCCAATAAAATCTGGTGGGAATTTCAGGATCCGGCTCCGCCCGCGGCCGTTTGGGGGGGGCTGAAGGATTTGGGGCGTCCCCATCCCCCAAAGGGGCTCAGACATCAGGGGATCCCCCCCGGAGCTCGTTAACGAGGATTAATTGGAATTCCCGGAGCTCGGCGGCCTTTGCCCCAATTCCGGCGATTTGGCTGCAGAATAAATCTGGGAACGGGATTAATTCTCATTTCCAGGCGGGACCAAAAAACCCCAAACGGGGCAGAATTAACCCCAAAAAAAGGGTGGAACAGCCTCAGAACGGACCCCTGGAAAAGCCACATCCCAATCCCAAAACTGGGATTTTTCACCCCAAAAACCACCTCAGTCTCAGCCCTCAGAGAAGCCACAGCCCAGCCCCCAAATTGGGCTTTTTTACCCCAAATCCAGGCACCCACCAGCCCCAAAATCCTCCGTTTTTGCCCCAAATCCACATTGTGCTCTCAAATCCCCATTTTTGCTCCAAAACCCTCATTTTTTGCCGCCAAATCCCCAACTTTTACCCCCAAATCCCACCTTTTCCCCCCAAATTTCCCCCCAAAGTTCATTTTTGCCCCAATTCCTCCCGTTTTCCCCCAAAAAACCCCACTCAGTCCATTTTTTGCCGTTTTTATTACGAAAAATGAGCCGTTTTGAGCCGTTTTGGTGTCGTTTCGCTCGTTCCCGGATAAGACACAACCGTGAAGCTTCGCCGAGGGGATTTTGGGGTGAATCCCCCTGGTTTTGGGACATTTCCGTGTCCTCACCCCCGGCAGGGCACGAAAACGGGGAAAAAAAAATCCCATTTTGAACCAAAACGCCGTCGATTCCCCCCAAAATCGTGCTCGGGACGGGGAGGAGAGAAACCAGCGGGATGGGGCCTCGGATCCGGAATTTTGGGGGGGATTTCGGGGATTTGGGTCAATTTTCAGCACTTTGGGGGAATTTTTCAGTCATTTTTGGGGTTGTTTTGGCCATTTTTGGGGTATTTTGGTAGTTTTTGGGAAATTTCCATGATTTTTTGGGGTTATTTTGGTCAATTTGTAGTTTTATTTCAGGGTATTTTGGATTTTAAAAATAGTTTTGGGGTATGCTTTCATCACTTTGGGGTTATTTGGTTATTTTAGGGCTATTTGGGTGATTTTGGGGTTATTTTGGTCAGGTTTGGGGCTATTTGAGTCACTTGGGGTGGTTTTTTTGGGTGTATTTTAGTGCTTTTAGGGTTATTTTGGTCTCTTTTTTTGGTTATTTGTATAATTTTGGATTACTTCAGTTATTTGGGGACTATTTGGTCAATTTTGGGGCTATTTCAACATTATTTCAGTAAATCTGGGGCTACTTTGGTAATTTTGGGGCTATTTTGGTCAAACTTTGGGCTATTTCAGTAATTTTGGGATCATTTCATTTGGTGCATTATTTTGGTCATTTTGGGGATTATTTTGCCCATTTTTGGGGTTATTTTTTGCCCATTTTTGGCCTATTTTGCCCATTTTTGGGTTATTTTTTGCCCATTTTTGGCCTATTTTGCCCATTTTGGGTTATTTTTTGACCATTTTTGGCCTATTTTGCTCATTTTTGGGTTATTTTGGCCGTTTTTGGGGCCCATCCCGGGGGCTCCTCTCGGGGGGGAATAAAAATGAGGGAAAATGGAATAAAAATCAAAGTGGAAAAAAAACCCTCAAAAAATGGAAAAAAAAAGCCCCAAAATCGCCCCAGAATTCCCAAAAAAAAGAGGGAAAAGGGAAAATTTGGTACCTGTGGTGCCAGGAGGGGGAGGGGGTGAGTTTTGGGGTGAAATCCTGGGAATTGGGGAGGAAGGGATGAAATTCACCCCAAAAATGTCACCCTGGGGGGGGTCACCCCAAAAAATGTCAGGACGGGAAAAAATGGGAAAAAAGGAGCCAAAATTGGGAAAAAGAAGGAAAAAAAGAAGTGGAGTGAAGGAAATGGAAAAAAAAAATTAAAAAATGATGGAAAAGGTGGAAAAAAGAAGGGAGAAAAGGGAAATAGAGGGGGGAAAAGGGATGAGAGGATCAAAAAAAAAGAGAAAATTTAAAAAAGGGGAATAAAAGGAAAAGGACCCCCAAAAAAGAGGAAAAAAAAGGGAAAAAAGGGAAAAAAAGGGCAAAAAAGGGGAAAAAAAGGGAAAAAAAGGGAAAAAAATGGGAAAAAAGGGGAAAAAGGGGGAAAAAAAAGGGAAAAAAAGGGAAAAAAAGGGGAAAAAAAGGGAAAAAAAGGGAAAAAAATGGGAAAAAAGGGGAAAAAGGGGGAAAAAAAAGGGAAAAAAAGGGAAAAAAAGGGGAAAAGGACCCAAAAAAAGGGGAAATAAAAGGCCCCAAAGGGTGAGGATGAGGAGGGCGGAGCGGAGGATGAGGAGGATGAGGAAGAGCAGGATCAGGAGCTGTTCTGGTTCTGGTAGATCGACGCCTTCTCCTTGAGCAGATCCAGGCAGAGGTGGCAGCTCCAGCTCCCTGCAAAAACGGGGTCAGCCTTCGGCCTCAGCCCCTCATCCTCCCGGGAGGGCACTCAGCAAGCCATGAAGCAGTTAATTAACTGGTTAATTAGATGATTAATCATGGGGGTTAATGAGAGAGGAGGGAGTGGGGAGGGGAAGAAGGGAGAGGAGGAGAAAGGAGGAAAAGGAGGGAGAGGAGGAGGAAGAGGAAGGAAGAGAATAAAGAAGGAAGTGGAGGAAGAGGAGGAGGAAGAGGAGGAATGAGGGAGGAAGAGAGAAAAGGAAGGGAGGGAGAGGATGAAGAGGAGGAAGAGGAGGAAGAGGGAGAAGAAAGAAAGGAGGAAGAAAAGGAGAATGAAGGAAGAGGAAGAAGAGGAGGGAAAAAAGGAAGAAAAGGAGGAAGAAGAGGAGGAAGAAGAGGAGGAAGAGGAAGATCTGGGACAATAAAACCTCTCCCCACATCCCAGAAGGAAACCCAGGAAGAAGCCGGAGGGATGGGGAATCCCAGGGGAGGATTTGGGGCACAATCCCAGGGGATCAGGAGTTCCAGGGAAGGTTTTGGGGTGGGATCCCAGGGGATCAGGAATTTCAGGGAGTTTTGGGGTGGGATCCCAGGGGATCAGGAATTTCAGGGAGTTTTGGGGTGGGATCCCAGGGGATCAGGAGTTCCAGGGAGTTCTGGGGCACAGTCCCAGGGGATCACGAACTCCAGGGGTGTTTGAGGTGGGATCCCAGGGGATCAGGAACCCCAGGGAAGGTTTTGGGGCACAGTCCCAGGGGTTCAGCAGCCCCAGGGAAGGTTTTGGGGCAGGATCCCAGGGGATGGGGAATCCCAGAGGAGGTTTTGGGGTGGGATCCCAGGGGTTCACAGCCCCAGGGTGGTTTAGGGGTGGGATCAGGAGCCCCAGGGAGGTTTTGGGGCACGCCCAGGGGTTCAGCAGCCCCAGGGAAGGTTTTGGGGCAGGATCCCAGGGGATGGGGAATCCCAGAGGAGGTTTTGGGGCACAGTCCCAGGGGATCAGCAGCCCCAGGGAGGTTTTGGGGTGGGATCAGGAGTTCCAGGGGGGTTTTGGGGTGGGATCCCAGGGGTTCAGCAGCCCCCGGGGCCGGACTCACCCTCGGGGGGCTCGGACATGGGGGGGGTCAGGCAGTACATGTGGTACCCACGGTCGCAGTCGTCACAGAACAGCAGCTGGTCCTGCCCGGGGCACATTCCCGTCATCCCCCTCCCAAAATTCCCACTTTTCCCCCCAAAAAAAGCTTCTCCCACCATCCCTAAAGGATTTTCCCCCCAATATCGTCCTCCCCCATTTCCAGAAGGTTCTGGAAAGGCAGAAGTTTCCTGCAGGAAGATTAAAAGCTCAGGATTTCTCCCAGAATTGACTCTGGGATCCTGCAGATTTATCCAAATCCAGTTTTTCCCAAAAAAGCTTTTCCTGGGTCACATGGACTCCTAAACACCAAGGATTTCCCCCACTAAAGAGCCTCCAGTGGGAATTCTGGGGCATTCCCAGGTGGATTTTTGGCACTCCCAGTTTTTTTTGTTTGGCACTTCTAGGTGCTTTTGTCACTCCCAGATGGATTTTGGGCTCTCCTATGTGGATTTCTGTCACTCCCAGATGGATTTTTGCCACTCCCAGATGGATTTTGGGCTCTCACAGATGGATTTTTGTCACTCCCAGGTGGTTCTGGGCTCTCCCATGTGGATTTTTGCCACTCCCAGATAGATTTTTGTCACTCCCAGATAGATTTTTGCCACTCCCATGTGGATTTAGGCTCTCCCAGATGGATTTTTGCCACTCCCATGCGGATTTTTGCCACTCCCAGGTGCATTTTTGCCACTCCCATGCGGATTTTTCTCACTCCCATGTAGATTTTTGCCACCCCCAGGGAGATTTTTGCCACTCCCAGATGGATTTTTGTCACTCCCATGCGGATTTTTCTCACTCCCTTGTGGATTTTTGCCACTCCCATGTGCATTTTTGCCACTCCCATGTGGATTTTTGCCACTCCCAGATGGATTTTTGCCACTCCCATGTGGATTTTGTCACTCCCATGTGCATTTTGGTCCCTCCCCTGTGCACTGGGCTCTCCCGGGCCGGGGCACTCACGTCGTTCTCGGAGGTGCCGCAGATGTTGCAGCACTTGCACTCGATGCACTGCCAGCGGTACGTCTTCACCGCCGCCATCATCACCGGCGTGAACTCCCAGGTGGATTTTTGCCACTCCCATGCGGATTTTGTCACTCCCATGTGCATTTTTGCTACCCCCAGGTGGATTTTGTCACTCCCCTGTGCATTTTGGTCCCTGCCCTGTGCACTGGGCTCTCCCGGGCCGGGGCACTCACGTCGTTCTCGGAGGTGCCGCAGATGTTGCAGCACTTGCACTCGATGCACTGCCAGCGGTACGTCTTCACCGCCGCCATCATCACCGGCGTGAACTGCAGGCACGACGGGTGCCCTGGGGACATCGGGGACATCAGTGGGGACATCATTGGGGACATCAGGGACATCAGGGACACGGCAGGGACACAGCAGGGACACGGCAGGGACACGGCAGGGACAGGCAGGGACAGGCAGGGACCCAACCCAACCACTCCCAGCTCCTGCCCCTCTCCAGCCCAATCCCAGCTCACCCAGCAGAGGGAAACCCTTGGATCCCCAATCCCAAACGCCCCCCCAGCCCCAGTCCAAGACCTTGGATCCCCGATCCCAAATGTCCCTTGTAACCCCAATCCAAGACCTTGGAGCCCCGATCCCAAATGTCCCTTATAACCCCAATCCAAGACCTTGGATCCCCGATCCCAAACGCCCCCCAGAACCCCAATCCAAGACCTTGGAGCCCCGATCCCAAACGCCCCCCAGCCCCAATCCAAGACCTTGGATCCCCGATCCCAAACGCCCCCAGCCCCCCGGCCCTGACCGGAGCGGCCGCAGTCGGAGCAGGACACGAGCTCCTCGGGCTGTCCCGTCTTCTTGTTGATCTTGGAGTCCCCCAGGCAGAAGTCGCAGTAATTGTTGGGAAGGGCCAACCCGTCGGGACCCTTCTTGGCTGCAGAGGGGACAGGGATCGGGATCGGGATTGGGATCGGGATCAGGGGACAGGGATCGGGATCGGGATCAGGATCAGGGGACAGGGATCAGGATCGGGATCGGGATCAGGATCAGGATCAGGGGACAGGGATCGGGATCAGGGGACAGGGATCGGGATCGGGATCGGGATCAGGATCAGGGATCAGGATCGGGATCGGGATCAGGATCAGGGATCGGGATCAGGATCGGGATCAGGGGACAGGGATCAGGATCGGCATCGGGATGAGGATCAGGATCAGGGGACAGGGATCAGGATCGGGATTGGGATCAGGACCAGGATCAGGGGACAGGGATCAGGATCGGGATCGGGATCGGGATCAGGATCAGGGGACAGGGATCAGGATCGGGATCGGGATCAGGATCAGGATCAGGGGACAGGGATCGGGATCAGGGGACAGGGATCGGGATCGGGATCGGGATCAGGATCAGGGGTCAGGGATCAGAGATCAGGGATCAGGATCAAGATCAATATCAAGACAAGGGTTCAGGGATGATGGGTCAGGGATCAGGATCGGGATCAGGGATCAGGGATTGGGATCAGGGATCAGGATCAGAGACAGAATTCCCCCCGGAGCCACTCCCAACCCCTCTGCTCTGCTCAATCCCAGGGGGAATTTTGCTCTCCTCAATCCCAGGGGGAATTTTGCTCTGCTCAATCCCAGGGGGAATTTTGCTCAGCTCAATCCCAGGGGGAATTTTGCTCTGCTCAATCCCAGGGGGAATTTTTCTCCGCTCAATCCCAGGGGGAATTTTGCTCCACTCAATCCCAGGGGGAATTTTGCTCTCCTCAATCCCAGGGGGAATTTTGCTCCGCTCAATCCCAGGCGGAATTTTGCTCCGCTCAATCCCAGGGGGAATTTTGATGTTTTTTGTTTCCCCTCACATTTCTGCTCCTCGGAGCGCTGGGAGACGGGCGTGGGGGGCTGCGAGTCGTCCTTGTCGTCGCCCTCCTCCTCGGCCAGGTGGGAGTGGGCGTAGTGGTAGCTGAGCCCGGGGCGGTTCTTGTAGCGCTTCCCGCAGACTGCCGAGGAAATCCGGGAAAATCCCGGGAAAAGCCCGCTGAGGGACAGGCAGGGGAGGGAAACCCCAAACCCTGAACCCTCCGGGGATGATCCCAGCGCTGGGCTGGGAGGGGAAAGAGGCTGGAGATGGGTAAAAAATACTGGAATTGTTGGGGAATTCCAGGTCATGAGCTGGGATCCCAAAGGAATTCCAGGTAAACACCCCAGGATCCCAAAGGAATTCCAGGTAAACACCCCAGGATCCCAAAGGAATTCCAGGTATTAGGAAATGCAGGTAAATTCCCCAGGATCCCAAAGGAATTCCAGGTAATGACTTGGGATCCCAAAGGAGTTCCTGGTAAATTCCCTGGGATCCCAAAGGAATTCCAGGTAAAGAGCTGGGATCCCAGAGGAATTCCAGGTATTAGGAATTCCAGGTAAACACCCCAGGATCCCAAAGGAATTCCAGGTAAAGAGCTGGGATCCCAGAGGAATTCCAGGTAAAACACTGTGGGAACCCTAAGGAATTCCAAGTATTAGGAATTCCAGGTGAATTCCCTGGAATCCCAAAGGAATTCCAGGTAAACAACCCAGGATCCCAAAAGAATTCCAGGTAATGACTTGGGATCCCAAAGGAGTTCCTGGTAAATTCCCTGGGATCCCAAAGGAATTCCAGATAAACACCCCAGGATCCCAAAAGAATTCCAGGTCATGACTTGGGATCCCAAAGGAGTTCCTGGTAAATTCCCTGGGATCCCAAAGGAATTCCAGATAAACACCCCAGGATCCCAAAAGAATTCCAGGTCATGAGCTGGGATCCCAAAGGAATTCCAGGTGAATTCCCTGGAATCCCAAAGGAATTCCAGATAAACATCCCAGGATCAATCCAATGGCAAAATCCCCATTGGGAATGTGTCAGGGAAATTCCCACCCCCAAAAATCCCATCCTGAGGTTAAAAACTGAGGGAAGGGGAAGTTGGGAATTCTGGGCTTCCAAGGAGGGATTTGGCAGCGGCCACGGATCCATCCCCGCTCCTCAGAACCCCAAAATCCATCGGTTCTCCCGTTTCCCACCCCGGAATTTGGGAGATTTCTGCCTGGATCCGGCTCCTGGTGGATCAGGGAATGGGCTCCAGTTCCCAGCGCTGCTTTTCCAGGGATTTTTTGGGATTTTCCTCATCCAAGGACACCCCAAAATCCCTTTCCAGCCCCGTTTCGGTGTGGGAAGGATGAGCCCGAGGAATTGGGATCAAATCCCAAAAAAGCAGCACTGGAGGGGGAATTCCAGGGCTTGGTGCAGACATTTCCCAAGTTTCCTGTTAATTTTCCCAAAAATTTGGGAATGAGCTGCTTTGGGATGAGATTTCCTGATTTTGGAGCTTTTCCAGAACACCACGGAAGTTTCTGGATCTGCTTCCACCTCGGGATCCTCCCCAGAACGTGGAAAAATGAGGGAAAAAACAGCTGGATCAGGGAAAACGGGGGCTGAACTTCCAAAGGGAGGCTGGCTCCTGCAGCCCAGGCTGGAAATTTTAGGATAAAAACCACAGGAATCGCCCTGGGATCTGTGGGGTTCATGGGGAAAACAAGATTGGAGCAGCAGCAAGGAAAAAGCAGCAACCCCAACGTGATTCCCACGAAATTCCCGCTTCCCTCCCCATCCATGGAGCTCCAAAATCAACTTTTCTCCCCCAAATCCTGCAGGAGAATCTCCAAACACGACTCTGGGAATTCTCCTCCCCAGGTGAGGAAGAGGAGCCTCAGGAACACCCCGGGAATATCCCAAATTCCCCTCCCCACCTGTGGCTCACCCCCATTTTTTGGGGCCTTTTTTGAGGCAGTGACGCATCCTGGGATTTGGGATTGGGGTGGAAACTGCAGAATTAGGGGTGGAAACTTTGGGATTTGGGGTGGAAACTGCAGAATTAGGGGTTCAAACTCCGAGATTTGGGTGGAAACCCCGAGATTTGGGGGGGAAACTCCAGGATTTAGGGGGGAAACTACAAAATTTGAGGGGGAATCTCCAGGATTGGGGTGGAAACTGCAGAATTTGGGGTGGAAACTTCAGGATTTGGGTGGAAATTCCAAGATTTGGGTGAAAACTGCAGGATTTGGGTGGAAACACAGGGATTTGGGTGGAAACTGCAGAATTTGGGGGCAAACTCCAGGATTGGGGTGCAAACTCCAGGATTTTGGTGCAAACTCTGGGATTTGGGTACAAACTCTGGGATTTGGGTACAAACTCTGGGATTTGGGGTGGAAACTCTGGGATTTGGGTACAAACTCCAGGATTTGGGCACAAACTCTGGGAGTTGGGGTGGAAACTCTGGGATTTGGATGCAAACTCCAGGATTTCGGTGCAAACTCTGGAATTTGGGGTGGAAACTCTGGGATTTGGGTACAAACTCCAGGATTTGGGCACAAACTCTGGGAGTTGGGGTGGAAACTCTGGGATTTGGGGTGCAAACTCTGGGTTTTGGGGTGGAAACTCTGGGATTTGGATGCAAACTCCAGGATTTCGGTGCAAACTCTGGAATTTGGGGTGGAAACTCTGGGATTTGGGTACAAACTCCAGGATTTGGGCACAAACTCTGGGAGTTGGGGTGGAAACTCTAGGATTTGGATGCAAACTCCAGGATTTCGGTGCAAACTCCGGGATTTGGGGCGGAAGCTCCGGGATTTGGGCACAAACTCCGTGTTTTTCCCATTGCTGGCTCCACAGGGGGGTTAATCTTTGTTTTCCCGGCCCCGTTCCCTGCTGGAAAAGGGTCAGGGGGCCCGAGCGGGGCCGGCGCTGACGTCGCTCCCGTGGCCTTTGGCTTCTCCCTCCCCTCCTCCCGCCCACCCCAGGCTCCACAGGGGCATTTGGGAGATTTCTTTTTTTGTTGGGAGTGGAAAAAAGGGGAAAAAAAAGGAGGAAAAGCAGGAAAAACGAGCAGAGAGAGAGCGGAACTACCTCGGTCGGGAGGTTTCAAGGAATGCTTTTGTTTGTAACTGTCTGAAACACAGAAAGAGAAGTCGTGAGAGGACACGGACACACACACACACGGAAAACCGGGAAAAAAGGGCAGGAAAAACACAACCTCAGGGAGCCAGGGGGAGAATTAGTGCTGGGAAGTGGCAGGACAGGAGGAAGAAGAGAGAAAAAGGAGCTGGCCAAGCCTCCCTCGCGGTCCCCATGCCGGTATCCCCTGGATTCATGGACTGCGGGCTGGAAGGTGGAATTCCCTCCCAGGGTTTTGTTGGAATTCCCAGCTCCTTAAGGGAGGGCTGGGAATGGGTCCCAGGGGCTGGGATCTGACTGGAAAACCACCGGGATGAAAGGGAGGGGTTGTTTGGGAAGCTTGTTCTCATTTTTATCCTGGTTTTGTTTATCCCGGTTCGTATCCTGCTGCTCCCCCAGTATTCCCAGTGGGAAAAACTCCACGGGGCTGCAGGGGGGGAGGGTGAGGCCGGCCCTGCCCTCCCCGGGGTGGGGTCTCCGCTCTGCCTGGAAGCCCCCGATCCCAAAGCGGGAAGTGCCCCGGCACTCACTGTCACAGGCGTAGGGCTTGTCCCGGTCCTCCAGGATGGCGGCGTCCAGCTTCTTCCGAGCGCCCCCCACGCCCTTTCCCTGCGGGAAAAAACCGGGATTTGGGGAAATCCGGGATGGGGAGCAGGGCAAGCAGCGAGCCAACAGTGCCCCGCGGTGGGAGCGGCCCGGAAACGAGCACAAATCCCTGGGAATTTGGGAAAAACGAGGAGTTCCGGTGTAAATCCCGGAAACGACCACAAATCCCTGGGAATTTGGGAAAAACGAGGAGTTTCGGTGTAAATCCCGGAAACGACCACAAATCCCTGGGAATTTGGGAAAAATGAGGAGTTTCGGTGTAAATCCCGGAAACGAGCACAAATCCCTGGGAATTTGGGAAAAATGAGGAGTTTCGGTGTAAATCCCGGAAACGAGCACAAATCCCTGGGAATTTGGGAAAAATGAGGAGTTTCGGTGTAAATCCCGGAAACGAGCACAAATCCCTGGGAATTTGGGAAAAATGAGGAGTTTCGGTGTAAATCCCGGTTTTCTGGGAATTCCTTTTCCCGAGAATTGCCTCACCTTGGCCTTGCCCTTCCCTCTCCGCTTGGGCGTGTCCTCCTCGTAATCCTCGTCGTCCAAATCGTCCAGGAAATCGTCGGGCTCCAGGATGCGCTGGGAATGGGCAGAGGGGTTAGAGCAGGGAAAACACCGGGAAAAATGGGAATTCCCGGTATCGCTCCAATTCCCAGAATTCTCAGCATCCCGAGCTCCTGGATCCTGTCTGGAATTCCCGGTATCCCGAGCTCCCGGAATTCCCGTGCTCCCGAGTTCCCAATTCCTGTTGGAATTCCCCTTATCCTGAATTCCCGTTATTCCGAGTTCCCGTTGGAATTCCCATGATCCCGAGTTCCCGCTCCCTGTCTGGAATTCCCATTATCCAGAATTCCCAGAATTCCCGTTATCCAGAATTCCCAGAATTCCCGTTATCCTGAATTCCCGTTATCCCGAGCTCCCGGAATTCCCATGATCCCGAGTTCCCGCTCCCTGTCTGGAATTCCCATTATCCAGAATTCCCAGAATTCCCGTTATCCCGAGCTCCCGGAATTCCCGTTATCCCGAGATCCCAATTCCTGCTGGAATTCCCCTTATCCTGAATTCCCGTTATTCCGAGTTCCCGTTGGAATTCCCATGATCCCGAGTTCCCGCTCCCCGTCTGGAATTCCCGTTATCCAGAATTCCTGCAGAATTCCCGTTCCTGAATTCCCGTTATCCTGAATTCCTGTTATCCCGAGCTCCCGGTTCCCGTTGGAATTCCCGTTATCCTGAGCTCCCCTTATCCCAAATTCCTGTTGGAATTCCCATTATCCTGAGCTCCCGTTATCCCAAATTCCTGTGGGAAATCCCGTTATCCCAAATTCCCATTATCCCAAATTCCCGTGGGAATTCCCGTTATCCCGAGCTCCCGGTTCCCGTTGGAATTCCCGTTATCCTGAATTCCCGTTATCCTGAATTCCCGTTATCCCGAGCTCCCGGTTCCCGTTGGAATTCCCGTTATCCTGAGCTCCCCTTATCCCAAATTCCTGTTGGAATTCCCATTATCCTGAGCTCCCGTTATCCCAAATTCCTGTGGGAAATCCCGTTATCCCAAATTCCCATTATCCCAAATTCCCGTGGGAATTCCCGTTATCCCGAGCTCCCGTTATCCCAAATTCCCGCTGGAATTCCTGTTACTCCAAATTCCCGTTATCCCGAATTCCCATTATCCCGAATTCCCGTTATCCCAAATTCCCGTTGGAATTCCCGTTATCCTGAGCTCCCCTTATCCCAAATTCCTGTGAGAAATCCCATTATCCCAAATTCCCATTATCCCAAATTCCCGTGGGAATTCCCGTTATCCCGAGCTCCCGTTATCCCAAATTCCCGCTGGAATTCCTGTTACTCCAAATTCCCGTTATCCCGAATTCCCGTTATCCCGAATTCCCGCTGGAATTCCCGTTACCCTGAGCTCCTGAAATTCCTGGTGTCCCACATTCCTGCTGGAATTCCTGTTGGAATTCCCGTTATCCTGAGCTCCCAATTCCCGTTGGAATTCCCGTTATCCCGAATTCCCGCTGGAATTCCCGTTATCCCGAGTTCCCATTATCCCACATTCCCGTTATCCCGAGCTCCTGGAATTCCCGCTGGAATTCCCGCTATCCCAAATTCCCACTGGAATTCCCGCTGTCCCGAATTCCCGCTGTCCCGAATCCCCGCTGGAATTCCCGCTGGAATTCCCGCTGGAATTCCCAGTCCCGAATCCCCGCTGTCCCGAATTCCCATTATCCCGAATCCCCGCTGGAATCCCGAATCCCCGCTGTCCCGCTATCCCGCTGTCCCGGCACCTTGCGGGCGCGGCTGTTGGTGAGCGGGAACTCGCCCAGGCTGTCGTCGTCCATGCGCGGGTCGGGCAGCGAGCGCTTCTCCAGGGGATCGGTGCGGAGCAGCGCCTCCAGGCTGCTGCCGTCCTGCGCCAGCAGCCCCTCCTTCTTCAGCGCCTGCTCCGCCTCTGGGGAAACGGGAAATCATGGGAAAATGGGGAAAAACCCGGAGAAAATGGGGAAAAACCCAGGGGAAAACCCAGAGAAACATGGGGAAAAACCCAGGGGAAAATGGGGAAAAATAACAGGGGAAATGGGGATAAATGGGAGAGCAGCCCCTCCTTCTTCAGGGCCTGCTCCGCCTCTGGGGAAACGGGAAATCATGGGAAAATGGGGAAAAACCCGGAGAAAATGGGGAAAAACCCAGGGGAAAACCCAGAGAAACATGGGGAAAAACCCAGGGGAAAATGGGGAAAAATGGGAGAGCAGCCCCTCCTTCTTCAGCGCCTGCTCCGCGTCTGGGACAACGGGAAAATAACGGGAAAATGGGGAAAAATGGGGAGAAAAACGGGGAAAAACCCAGGGGAAAATGGGGAAAAACTCAGAGAAAAATGGGGAAAAATAACAGGGAAAATGGGGATAAATGGGGAAAAACTCAGAGAAACATGGGGAAAAACCCAGAGGAAAATGGGGAAAAACTCAGAGAAAAATGGGGAAAAACCCAGGGGAAAATGGGGAAAACCCAGAGAAACATGGGGATAAACCCAGGGGAAAATGGGGAGAAAATGGGGAAAAACAGAGAAAAATGGGAAAAAAAGGGGAAAAAACCAGGGGAAAATGAGGAATAAATGGGGGAAAAAACAGGAAAAAGGAGGGTGGGTGATGGACAAAAACATGGAGAAAAATGGGGAAAAATAACAGGGAAAGATGGGGAAAAATAACAGGGAAAATGAGGGAAAACCCAGAGAAAAATGGAGAAAAACCCATGGGAAAATGGGAAAAAACCCAGAGAAAAATGGGGCAAAATGGGAAAACATAGGGAAAAAAGAGGAAAAACCAGGGGAAAAACGGTGAAAAACCGGGAAAAAGGAGGGTGGGTGAGGGATGCTGGCCGACCAGGTGGGATTCCCAGGAATGCAGCAGGGAATGGGGGAATTACCGGGTTTGATGGAAGGGAAGGAGAGCCGGGGGTCCTCCGGGGGGTGGGCGCGGCGTTTCTTGCGCCAGCGCCGCGCCGGGTACGAGTAGAGCTGCCCGGCTGCCAAACCTGCAGAGAAATCCCAGGAAATCCCCCAAAATCCGGCCAGGGAGGGACAAAACTCCTGGGAATCACCCCAGGTTGTGACAAAATCCCCAAAACTCTCCCAAGGTTGTGGCAGAAGGGCCCAAAGTGACCCAGCCCCCTTCCCCTCCCTGCTGTTTTCCTGTCATTTCCACATCATTTTCCTGGTGTTTTCCCTTTTTTCCCCACCATTTTCCCACTGTTTTCTGCCTCCTGCCATTTCCCTGGTGTTCTCCCAGTTTTCCTCTTATTCTCCTGGTGTTTCCTCATTATTCTCCCATCACCTCCCCATTGTTCCCCATCATTTCCCTGTTGTTTCACATCATTTCCCTGCTGTTTTCCCACTATTTCCCATAATTTCCCTGCTGTTTCCCCACTGTCCTCCCAGTGTTTTCCCATTGTTTCCCACCATTCCCCTGCTGTTCCCCATCATTTCCCAGTTGTTCCCCATCATTTCCCTGTTATTTCCCCATTGTTCTCCTGGTGTTTTCCCATCATTTCCCCGTTATTTCCCATTATTTCCCTGCTGTTTTCCCATTATTTATTTCCCTGTTGTTTCCCCATCACTTCCCTGTTACTTCCCCATTGCTCTCCTGTTATTTCCCCATCATTTTTCCTATAATTTCCTATTTTCCTCCCCATTGTTTTCCATCATTTCCCTGTTATTTCCCATTATTTCCCTGTTATTTCCCCATTGTTTTCCATCATTTCCCTGTTACTTCCCATCGTTCTCCTGTTGTTTTCCCATAATTTCCCCATTGTTTTCCATAATTTCCCTGTTATTTCCCATCATTTCCCTGTTGTTTCCCCATCACTTCCTTGTTACTTCCCCACTGCTCTCCTGTTATTTCCCCATCATTTCCCTGCTGTTTCCCCATTGTTCTCCTGGTGTTTTCCCGTTGTTTCCCTGTTGGTTCCCCACCATCCCCAGCGCTTTCCCGGTGCCCTCCCGTTGTTCTCCCGGTGCCGTTCCCGCTGTTTGTCTCCCCCGGTGCCGTACCGGGCCCGCGGTGCCGTTTCTCCATCCAGATGTAGCAGTTGCTCTGGGCCACGCCGGTCTGCGAGTCCAGGAAGGGCAGGCGCACGCTGCGCTCGGCGCAGAGCCGCGCGTTGTAGCTGTGGCACTGCTCCATGGCGTCCCGGTAGTACTGCTCGCCCAGCCTGCAACGGCACCGCGGCTGGCACCGGGACTGGCGCCGGGAATGGCGCCGGGACTGGCAGGGATTGGCACCGGGACTGGCACCGGGAATGGCACCGCGGCTGGCACCGGGACTGGCACCGGGACGCGTTTTCCCGGTGCCCTTCCCGGTGCCCTCCCGTTGTTCTCCCGGTGCCGTTCCCGTTGTTTGTTTTCCCCGGCGCCGTTCCCGCTGTTTGTCTCCCCCGGTGCCGTACCGGGCCCGCGGTGCCGTTTCTCCATCCAGATGTAGCAGTTGCTCTGGGCCACGCCGGTCTGTGAGTCCAGGAAGGGCAGGCGCACGCTGCGCTCGGCGCAGAGCCGCGCGTTGTAGCTGTGGCACTGCTCCATGGCGTCCCGGTAGTACTGCTCGCCCAGCCTGCAACGGCACCGCGGCTGGCACCGGGACTGGGGCCGGGACTGGCAGGGATTGGCACTGGGAACGGCACCGGGACTGGCACCGGGACTGGCAGGGATTGGCACTGGGAATGGCACCGGGAATGGCACCGGGAATGGTGCTGGGAATGGTGCTGGGAATGGCACTGGGAATGGCAGGGATTGGCACTGGGAACGGCACCGGGACTGGCACCGGGAATGGCAGGGATTGGCACTGGGAACGGCAGGGATCAGTGCCCAGAATGGCACCGGGAATGGCACTGGGAATGGCACCGGGATTGGCACTGGGAACGGCACCGGGAATGGCACCAGGAATGGCACCGGGAATGGCAGGGATCAGTGCTGGGAATGGCACCAGGACTGGCACTGGGAACGGCAGGGATTGGCACTGGGAATGGCAGGGATCAGTGCCCAGAATGGCACTGGGAATGGCACCAGGAATGGCAGGGACAGTGCCCAGAATGGCAGGATTGACACAGGGAATGGCATAGGGAATGGGGAATCTCTCAGGGATTGAGCCTCAGGGATGCCAGGGATACCAGGAGAATGTCAGGAATACATCTACAGAGACTCAGGGATAAAACCCTGCAGAACATCAGGAATAAACCTGGAAACCCTGAGGGATAAAATCCTGGGAACCCTCAGGGATGAACCTGGAAACCCTGAGGAATAAACCTGGAAACCCTCAGGGATGAACCTGGAAACCCTGAGGGATAAACCTGGAAACCCTCAGGGATAAACCTGGAAACCCTCAGGGATGAACCTGGAAACCCTGAGGGATAAACCTGGAAACCCTGAGGGATAAAATCCTGGAATTCCTCAGGGATAAACCTGGAAACCCTCAGGGATGAAAGTGGAAACCCTGAGGAATAAACCTGGAAACCCTCAGGGATGAACCTGGAAACGCTGGGGTATAAAAGTGCCCAACTTCCTATTCCTTGGCTTTTCCAGGACACTTCCAGGGGTGGGAAGGGAAAGGCAGGAAGGGAAGAGATGGAGCAAAGGGACGGACAGGAAAATACAGATATTTACAGGAAATACAGGAATGTACAAGAAAATACAGGGATTTAGAGTGAAATACAAAGATGTACAAGGAAATACAGAGATTTACAGGGAATACAGAGATTTACAGGAAATACAGGAATGTACAAGAAAATACAGGGATTTAGAGTGAAATACAAAGATGTACAAGGAAATACAGAGATTTACAGGGAATACAGGGATGTGTAGGAAACACAGGGATTTAGAGCAAAACACAGCAATACACAGGGAAATACAGAGATTTAAAGAGAAGGAAATACAGGAATGTACAAGAAAATACAGGGATTTACAGGGAATACCAGGATGTGTAGTAAATACAGGGAGCTAGAGCGAAACACAGCAATACACAGGGAAATACAGGGATTTAGAGAGAAATACAGGGAATTAGAAGGAAGTGCAGGAACATAGAGGGAAATGCGGGGATTTCGAGGGAGATACAGGGATTTTGAGGGAAATATGAGGATTCTGAGGGAAGTACAGGGAAGGGTCCCCCCCAGCTCGGCCTCCACAGGACCCTCTGGCTGGGATGCACAGGGAAGTAGTGCAGGAATGAGCAGGGAATGCAGGGGGATATTGAGGGATATTCGGGGATATTGAGGGATATTCGGGGTTATTGAGGGATATTCAAGGATGGAATCTCCAGGGACGCACAGAGATGTGCTGGGATGACTCTCCCGTCCTTGGCCTCTACAGGACGCTCGCACACGGGAGTTCAGGGATACGTGAGGGAGCGCAGGGAAGCACAGGGACACAACACAGGGAATTTTACAGGGATGAACCCCCCGGCTTTGCCCTCTCCGGGACCCTCTCAGGGCCCGACCTGGGGGACCCCCCCGGACCCTCCCAGGCTCTCCCCGCCTCAAGTCTCTGCGGCCCTGCCGGTGCTGAGGGGGATTTTGGGGTGTCCTCAACGTCCCCCTCAGCAAAGTTCACCGCGAACAATGCGCGCGTGTCGCTTCCTCCCCCCCCCTCCCCGCCCACTTGGTCCCGTCCGGCGCGCGGGGGCGAAGGGGGGGCCCCGCTTCCCGCACCCGGCCGGGCCGCACCATTTCCGCGCCGCAGGGGGAGACCGGGGAGGGGGGGGGACCCGCACTCACAGCTTGACCACATTCTGAACCACCGCCGCCATCTTGGCTCCGCCGCCGGGGCGCCGCGGGGCGCGTGCGCGGAGGGAGGGGCGGGAGGGGCGGGGAGAGGGAGGAGGAGGAAGAGGGAGAGGGATGGAGGGAGGAGGAGGAGCGGGGAGAGGGAAGGGTGGAGAAAGGGGAGGCGGAGGGAGAGGGAGGAGAAGGAGGGCCGGGGGAAGGGAGCGTGGAGTCCTCCGGGCCGCTGGGCGGCGCTGTGCGCCGCGCGCATGCGCGGGGGAAAAGGCGGGAAAAGGGGGAGTGGTGGTGGGGGGCGAAAGTCTGAGGGGAAAAATGGCAGGAAAAGGATCTGAGGGGGAAAATGCACCGAAAAGGGGAAAATCCGGGAGAAAGGGGCGGATGAAGGTACGGGGAGAAAGGGAGGGCACGGGGATGAAAGAGGGAGGCAGAGTGGGGGGTACGGGGGGAGAATAAGGGGGAGATGGAGGGGAGAGACTGAGGGGGGAAAATGATGGGAGAATGAGTGACAAGATGGGGGGAGGATGAGGGGAAAAATGGGAGAGAACAAGGCAGGAGAGTGAGGGAGAAATGGACAGAAAGCGGGAGGAAATGATGGCAGAGGATCAGGGGGTTTATCCTGGAAGAAGGAGGTTTGAAAGACCCCAGTGTTGCCTACAATTCCCTGGAATGAGGGTGAGATCCCTTCTCCTCATGGATAAAACAAGATAGAACAACCTCGAGTTGTATCAGGGGAGGTTTAGTGAGAAAAATTCCTGGAAAGGGTTGTCCCACCCTGAGATGTGGAATTGCTGTCCTGGAATTATCCCAGAAAAAGCCTGGATGGGGCACATGGGAACACCGTTCAGGGGTGACCAGGTTGGATTTGATGATCTTTTTCAACCTCAACCTTTCCATGGAAAAGGGTGATAAGATGGAGAATGGAAAGGGAAATGGGGAAGGAAAGGGACGGAGGAGGTTTAGGGGATAAAATGGAAAGAGGGGTGAGGGTTGGGAGGGAAATGAGGGATAAATTGGGGATGGAGAAATGAGTAAATGAAGGCTAGGAGAGGATGAAATTAGGGATAAATGAGGATGGATCCCCTCTGATCCCAAATCTCCCCAGATTCCTTATGTCTCTTCATCCCCAAAAATTCCCATTTTGAGCTCTTTTCCCTTTTTATCAAACCCGAATTAACCAAGTATCCCCAAATTCATCCCCCAGGACAGAGGTCACCCACAGCCCCTATGGCGAGCGTGGTTTGATGTCAGCTTCCAGGTGAGCTCCTCACTTCCAGGTGAATTCCTCACTTCCAGGTGAGTTCCTCACTTCCAGGTGAGCTCCTCACTTCCAGGTGAGCTCCTCACTTCCAGGTGAGTTCCTCTCTCTTTTTCCTCCTTACTTCCACATCCCACCTGTGTTTTTTTTCCCTGTTTGTTGAGAATTTGCCTTTTTCCCCCAAGGTCACCCCCTTGGCAAACCTTCCTCCCTCCTCCTCCTCCTCTCCTCCTCCTCCTCCTCCTCCTGGTAATCCCAGGCCGGCTGTTGCTGGCGCTCATCCTGGCTGGGTTCCCGGCTCCGGCCATGCCGGGGGGTCAAGCACTGACCGCGGGCGTGGGCGGCGTTAATCCGCTGCCCGGAAATCCCGGGATAACGAGGAAGTTGGGAGGGAGGCCTGTGCCCCTGCTGGGGTTAATTAACGATTCCATCCTTGATTGATTCTGGAATAAACTCCCCAGAAAGGGAGGGGAGTGGGCGCTGAGTCACGGCTGCTCCGGATGACTCAAATTCTTGGAATTGGGAGTAAATCAGCAAGTTTGGCAACAGTGGTTTGCATAAATCATTAATCTGGGGAGTGATTAATTACAGGAGAAGTGAAGGAGGCTCCAGTCCTGTGGAAAGGGATCCCAAATGATTTATTCATCATTTGAAAATGAATTGAGGAATTTGGGTTTTTTGCAGGAGATGAGATGGGGGGAAAAAAAACATTTCAGGGATAAAGTGATATTTGGGATAATTTCAGGGATAATAACGATAATAACAATAATTTTGGGGATAATTTCAGGGATTTTTTAGCAAAATAGTCTGAGAGGTGTGGGAGGAAGGGAAGAGGGGTGAGAAAAGCAAAATCACCTTTTCATGGTAAAAAAACCCCCAAATTTGGCAAATTAAAGGAGCTTTTCCAGGACTGGAGCAGAGGGGGATGAGTGGGGGGAGAACAGAAATGAGTGGACGAGGTCCCAGATTAAAGCTGGAACACCCCATAATTCAAAATTGTAAAAGGGAAAAAAATGAGGGAGAAAAGGGAAAAAAACAGGAAAAAAAAGGGGATTTTGGCTGATTTTGGTATTTCGAAACAGCTCCGGCAGCGACGGTTTCGCAATCCCTGGGCTGAGGTGGGGCACAAACAGCTCCATCTTTAAATCACTGATTAGGGTGGGTGGAACCCAGGAAAATCGGGGTGAAATCCAGGGAAAAAAGTCCATCCACGTTGTCCCAACCCAGCCCACACTGGAAAGCCCCCAAAACACAGAAACCCGCCCAAAATGAGCCGTTCTGGGCCCGTTTCCCTTCACGTTGTTTGTCCGAGCAGCAGCTGTGGTGTGTTTGTGGGACAGGAGGGGACACGGAGCCACGTTCCCATCCCAGTCTCTGGGGTTAATTAATCACAAACATCCCTGGGGTTAATTAATCACAAACAGTTGGAATTGGTTTGGGGAGGAAAAATCACAAATAAATAAAATGTGGACAGAGTGTGGGGGGAGAACAGAGTTTAGAGCAGGGAGGAGTTGGACCAAATAGAAATTAAACCTAATTGAGCCTAATTAGCCTCAGTTTATCACTTATTTTACAGATGAAAACCTTGGAAAATGGGTTTATCCCCAAATTCTGGGTGTTTGCACCAAAAGTGGTTTGGGTTTACCGACGCACAGGGGGAGGGGAAGGAAGAGGCGGGACAAGGGTTCGTTAACAAGAATCTAATGAGTCATTAGTCAGATAATCTAAATTAGACTCGTTAGGCAATGAGGAACAGCACCGGGGTCAGGAGGGGCCGCGACTCCGCCCTGGGGGGATCCAGTTCTGGGCTCAAACTGCCAGAAATTGGTGAAAAGATGGAATTTGTGACAGGAGCCTGGACGAGGAGGCCCCGCTGGTCCCACCCTGTCCTGGTGGCTCCTCCAGCAGCGTTTCCAGTGGGGCTTTTGTCCCTGTTCCCCAAAATCCAGCTGGAATTCCCCTGGGCATTCCCACTCCACCCGAACCATCCGCGACGGATCCCTCGGTGCCAGGATCCACCTGCAGCTCACGTTGGGATTTTTGGTTGGTTTTGCAATTTCCAGTCGCTCCAGTTGGGCCCCAGAGGGGTTTTTTGGCCCCTCCATGGATTGAGTTCCTAAAACAAGAGCTCCATTGGGAGATCCCAGCTCCTCCACGGGGAGTTTTGGCTTCTCCACAGGGACACAGAGCCCGGTGGACGTTTCCCGGTGGAGATTTCCCCATCTGTGGGACTTTCAAAGGATTTCATGGAGCAGAAGTTGAGGTGACAGCGCCGTGACGGTTCAGGAGGTTCAGAGCCATGGAGAACAAACCCCGCTGTCCCCCCCGAATCCTCCTGGCTGGAATCTTTGGGAATCCATCCCGTGGGGTCCGTCGTGTTTCCCGTGGGCAGCTCTGGCACTGAGGAGGCTGGGAGAGCTCAGGGGGTCACTCTTCTTCTCCCCCGAGGCCAAACCCTCACCCGGCGTGAGGAAACGCAGGAATCCGAGAGCCACACCCGAAAAACACCCCAAATCCTCCTCCCCATCCTCATCCTCATCCTCGCCGTCCGCTTCCCAACGCCTTCACCCTCACGTCAGGATCTCCGGCCGCGCGCCGGCGCCGCGCTCGGCCTGGTGCCTGTCCATGACCTGCAGCACATCCTCCAGGATGGACGGCCCCAGGTCCACGTGCAGGGACAGCAGCGAGCCGGCGTGCGACAGGAAGGGCTCGGCCTCGCCGTTGGCGGCCAGCCGGGGGCACGACGGCGACAACGCCGGCGACGGCGGCGACGCCGCGGCCTCGTCCAGGTGCAGCCGCGGGGGTTTCGGCGGGGCCTGCGCCGCGGGCAGGGTCAGCGCCTGCGCGGCACCGAGCGCCGGCAGGGAAATGGCGTTCTTGAGCAGCGGCGACGGCGTGGCCGCCGCGCCGCCCGACATGGTGGCCGTGCGCGAGAACTCGAACGGCGCCGTCGTTTCAGCTCCGCCGCCGGCGTCGCCGCGGGGCAGCAGGTGGAACTTGCCCTGCAGGAAGGAGATGTCCCCGAAGGTGTCGGCCTCGCCGCCGCTGCCCACGTGGATGGTGTGGCGGAAGTCGCCCAGCGGAGGGCTGATCATGTCCGAGGACAGGATGTCGCGCAGCTTCTCCTTCTTGCCCTTGCGGCTGCCCCTCTTCAGGTAGATCGGCACCTTGGTGGACATGGCGGCCGCGCTTCAGGGCAGCCTGGGGAGGAACGGGGAGAGGGGAACGCTCAGCGCTGCCACGGCAACGCCAGCAGCGTCCTCACCCTCGCAATGAACGGCAGAGCTTCCCCCGCCGCTAACACCCAGAGGAGCAGGTAATGAAAGCCAGGCCGGGAGGGAGGCGGGCAGGGAAACCCAGATTTGGGGTTTAGGGAGGAGTTGGGGAGTGGAGTTGGAGGTCGGGAGAGCAGAGTGCTGGGAAGAGGCGTTTTGAACCCAAAAGGGATTTTCTCACCCTGAGCTGCTCTCTGCTCGGCCCCACCCAGCCCAGCTGAAGTGAAAAGCAGAAATTTTGGAGATTTGGGGCCAGAAGGGGAAGGAAGTTGGGGTTTCCCCTGTTTCAGTCGTGAACTCTGAGTTCAGCCATCAGATCTGGGCTGGATTTTACAGCTCTGGGGAGAAATGAGGCAAAAAATGGGAATTTTTGGGGCCATGAATGCGTCCAGCCTCAGGGGGAGGGAAAAAGGGATGGAACAGGTTTTGGAGCCACCAGAACGTTCCCTGTTAGCAAAAATGGGAATTTTTGGGGCCATGAATGTGTCCAGCCTCAGCGGGAGGGAAAAAGGGATGGAACAGGTTTGGAGCCACCAGAACGTTCCCTGTTCAATCAGCAAGTGGGAAGTTCTGGAGGTTTTCACCCTTATCGTGAATTTTCAGGGAAAAAAATTTCCATGCATCCCTGTTTTTGTAAAGGCAGTGCTGCTGGCAAGGCCAGAGCAGCGTGAGGGATTTAGGGCCGGGTTTGTCCCGGGCTGGGACGCCCTGAGGGGCCTCTCCCGGCCAGAATTCGACCCAGAAGAGTCCCGGGAGGATTCATCCCTAAAAACACAACAACAACACCAATGCCCCGAGGGATGGAAAATCCCAATTCCCCTTCACCTCTGCAAACCTCGCTGCTGCCCGCCCCTTCCCTGCTTGGGGGAATATTCCCTCATTATCCCCCAGTTTTAGGGAATATTCCCTTATAATTCCCTGGTTTTGGGGATATTCCCTCAGAATTCCCTGCTTGGGGGAATATTCCCTCAGAATCCCATGCTTTGGGGGAATATTCCCTTATTATCCCCCATTTTTAGGGAATATTCCCTTATAATTCCCTGGTTTTGGGGATATTCCCTCAGAATTCCCTGCTTTTAGGGACTGTTTCCTCAGAATCCCATGCTTTGGGGGACTATTCCCTTATTATCCCCCATTTTTAGGGAATATTCCCTTATTATCCCATTTTTCGGGAACAACCCCCCATTTTTAGGGAATACTCCCTCATTATCCAATATTTTTAGGAACTATTCCATTATCATCCCCTGCATTTAGGAAATACTCCTTTATTATCCTGTTTTCATGGAATTCTTCCCCGTTTTCGAGGAATTCTTCCCCATTTTCATGGAATTCTCCCAATTCTCCCCCTTTTTCATGGAATTCTCCCAATTCTCCCCCTTTTTCATGGCATTCTCCCCATTCTCCCCCCTTTTCACGGAATTCTCCCGTTTTGCCCCTTTTTCATGGAAGTCTCCCCTGTTCTGCCCCTTTTTTATGGAATTCTCTCCTGTTTTCATGGAATTCTCCCCATTCTCCCCCATTTTCATGGAATTCTCCCAATTCTCTCCTGTTTTCATGGAATTCTCCCCATTCTCCCCCATTTTCAAGGAATTCTCCCCCATTTTAATGAAATTCTCCCAATTCTTCTCTGTTTCCCCCATTTTCATGGAATTCTCCCAATTCTCTCCTGTTTTCATGGAATTCTCCCCATTCTCCCCCATTTTCAAGGAATTCTCCCCCATTTTAATGAAATTCTCCCAATTCTTCTCTGTTTTCATGGAATTTTCCCCTGTTTTGCCCCTTTTTCATTGAATTCTCCCCCATTTTAATGGAATTCTCCCCATTCTCCTATTTTCATGGAATTCTGCCCCGTTATCCCATAGTTTTCATGGAATTCTCCCCCATTTTCATGGAATTCTCCAAATTCTCCCCCTTTTTCATGGCATTCTCCCCCATTTTCATGGAATTCTCCCGTTTTGCCCCTTCTTCATGGAATTCTCCCCTGTTCTGCCCCATTTTCAAGGAATTCTCCCCCATTTTAATGGAATTCTCCCTTGTTCTGCCCCTTTTTCATGGAATTCTCCCCATTCTCCACCATTTTCATGGAATTCTCCCCCATTTTCATGGAATTCTCCCCCTATCCCCCCAATCCCCGTTACCGACCAGCGCCGGCGCCGCTCCCGAGGCCTCGAGGGGAGGGAGGGGAGGGGATCCCGGGAGAGGAGAGGATCCCGGGGAGAGGATCCCGGGAGGGGAGGGGATCCCGGGGAGAGGATCCCGGGGAGAGGATCCCGGGAGGGGAGAGGATCCCGGGGCGATCCCGGGGATCGGGGCAGGGCCCGGCCCCGGCCCCGGCCAGGCAGGAGAATCCTGACGGTGCAGAACGCAGCGCCGCTAATCCCGGGATTAGCGCGGCTCGGAGCGCCGGCGCCGCTCCCGAGGCCGCGAGGGGAGGGAGGGGAGGGGATCCCGGGAGAGGAGAGGATCCCGGGGAGAGGATCCCGGGAGGGGAGGGGATCCCGGGGAGAGGATCCCGGGGAGAGGATCCCGGGAGGGGAGAGGATCCCGAGGGGGGATCCCGGGGAGAGGATCCCGGGGAGAGGATCCCGGGAGGGGAGAGGATCCCGGGGCGATCCCGGGGATCGGGGCAGGGCCCGGCCCCGGCCCCGGCCAGGCAGGAGAATCCTGACGGTGCAGAACGCAGCGCCGCTAATCCCGGGATTAGCGCGGCTCGGAGCGACGGGAGGGGGCGGCGGGGACGGGGACGGGGACAGGGACAGGGAATGGGACAGCCCCTCTGGAGTCGGGATCGGCACCGGCGCCCTTGGAAATGCGGGAATTGTAGGGGAAAAGTGGGCTTGGAGTGGGGGAAAAGTGAAATTGGAGGGGGAAAAGCGGGGCTGTAGGGAAAAAATGGAATTATAGGGGTTAAAATGGGTTTGTGGGGGAAAGAAGTGGATTTGGAGGGAATAAGGGGGATTTTGAGGGAATAAAGTGGATTTGGAGGGGAAAAAGGCTCTGAAATGTGAATTCCCATGTGAGGCTGAGGATGATGATGATGATGGGGATAAGCATCCCGGAGCTGTCGGTGCCCTGGGAGCTGGAGGTTAAAATGGGTTTGTGGGGGAAAGAAGTAGATTTGGAGGGAATAAGGTGAATTTGGAGGGAATAAGGGGGATTTTGAGGGAATAAAGTGGATTTGGAGGGGAAAAAGGCTCTGAAATGTGAATTCCCATGTGAGGCTGAGGATGATGATGATGATGGGGATAAGCATCCCGGAGCTGTCGGTGCCCTGGGAGCTGGATTTTCCCCTCCTGGAAATCCCTTTTCCCACCCCAAAGTGCCCTCCCTGACCCCAGTCCCTCCCCCTCCCGCCAAAACCCCGGGAAAAGTCGGGAATGTTCTGGGAGCTGAATTCCCTTTGTGCTGGGAGAGGGAAATCCCGGGAATGGGGGAGGTTCCAGCCCCAAATCCCCAAATTCCCAAATTCCCTCCTCACGGGAGCCACGGCGCTCCCCAGCCCTGCAGGGAGATCCCAAACAGGTGGAAAATGGGCTGGAAAAGGAGAAAAACTCCAAGGAATAATTCATTTCCAGGAGTTTCCATCCCTGAAATCCCAGGAGAACCCGGGACACCCCAGGAGGAGGAGTCAGCAATGAGGAAAACAGGGAAAAACAGGAAAAAAAACAGGGAAAAAATGGATTTTTTCCCCCAGGATCCGAGTGGGAGGAGCTCCAGGAGGCGCTCCCAGGATTCCGACCCTTGGAATCGCCTGGATCAGCAGATTCGACTCCCATGGAGAAAAATTTGAGGAATTTTTCCATTTTTCCATCAATTCCAGCTCCAACAGAGAAATCCTGTTCATTTCATTCCTTTTTTTTGTGATTTAGGGTCTGGATTGGGAGGAATTTGGGCTCTTTTTTCACAAATTACAGGAAAATTTTGTTCCTTTTCCAGCACTTTGGGCTTCAGCACACCCAGGTTTTTCATTTTCCACCTGTTCTTGGAAATTCAGGCTTCAGTTCAGGAAAAAATTGGGATCTTTTTGCCTCTTGCCACAAATTCACCTCTCACAACCTGGAAATTTCCTTCCTTTTCCCCCTGCTTTTGGAAATTCCTACCTCAGTGTGAAATTTTCTGCCCATTTTCTGCCCCTTGAGGCTTCATGACTTCAACACTTTTACTTTCCCTCAGTTTTTCCATAAAAATTCCAACTTCCTGCCCATTTCCAGCATTTTGGGCTCTGCCCCACAGAAATTTGGGGGTTTTTTAAGCTGATTTTCAGGAATTTTGGCGCTGTCTGAGCAGCCCTTCCCCATCCTGGTGTCCCCACGAGCAATCCCATCCCCGTTTTCCCCGAGCGGGGATTCAGGGATGGAATTAAAACTCCTTTTCCCATGGGAAATGCCCGAGGGAGGAGCAAAAACCTCCCTTTCCTCCCTCCTGACCCATTCCAGCCTTTTTGTGGTGCCCCATTTAAATCCCCGCCTCCGGATTCGCCCCGGGATGGCTCCGGAGGATGGATTTTCCCAAAAAAAAGATGGAAATTCCCCATTTCCCCGCTGCCCCCGAGCTGCAGGAGCCGGAGGGAGGAAGAGGAGCCCTTTGGGATGAAGGTCGTGGGGATTTTGGGGCCCGTCCGTGAGACCCGACCCCGCTCTGAGCACGGGAAAAGCCGGAATGGGTTAAAATGAGTTAAAAAGGGTTAAAAAGGGTTAAAAGCGGGCAGGAGTTGCCCTCGCCCCGTCCCACCTCGGGAATCCAGCGCAGGGTCCGGGCCGGGCGCAGCGCAGCGCTGACAATTCCATGCCAGGGCACAGCGGCACCTTCTGCCAGGAAAATCCCGGTGTCGGGACGAGCCCGGGGCAAGCCGGAGGATGAGGAGGGAAGGGAGGAAGGAGCCTCGGCCCCGGCCACACCCCGACCCCTCCCGGTGCCAAAAAATTCCACGGGAAAAGCCAAAATCCGGGAGAAGCAGCAGCGGCTCCTCCGGGGGCTCCTCCCGGGCCGGGATTGCCGGGGAGCGGCCGCGGGTCGGGGATGGGGTCGGAGTCCGCTCGGGCGGCCGGGACACTCCTTGGAGAGGGCTCGGAAATCCGGGGCTCGGAAATTCCGGGGCTTTGGAAATCTGGGAGTTCGGAAATCCGGGGCTCGGAAATCCGGGGCTTTGGAAATCTGGGAGTTCGGAAATCCGGAGTTCAGGAATCCGGGGGGTCGGAAATCCGGGGGGTCGGAAATTCAGGGGTTCGGAAATCTGGGAGTTCGGAAATCCAGGAGTTCAGGAATCCGGGGGTTCGGGAAATCCGGGGAGTCGGAAATCCGGGGGGTCGGAAATTCGGGGGTTTGGAAATTCGGGAGTTCAGGAATCCGGTGGTTTGAAAATCCAGGGGTTCGGTAATTCAGGAATTCGAAAATCCGGCGATTTGGAAATCCGGGGGTTCGGAAATCCGGGGATTCTCCCGTTCGCAGGAAAGAACACCCGGAAAGCCGGGCCGGAATCCGGAGCTATTCCAGGGCTCCGGGGCCGTTCCAGGAGCTGTTCCGGGGCTCCGGGGCCGTTCCGGGGATCCAGGGGCCGTTCCAGGGATCCAGGGGCTTTCCGGGGATTCTCCCGTTCGCAGGAAAGAACACCCGGAAAGCCGGGCCGGGATCCGGGGCTATTCCGGGGCTCCGGGGCCGTTCCGGGGATCCAGGGGCTTTTCCCGGAGCTGTACCGGGGCTCCGGGGCCGCTCCGGGGATCCAGGGGCTGTTCCCGGAGCTGTTCCGGGGCTCCGGGGCCGTTCCGGGGATCCAGGGGCTTTTCCCGGAGGGGTACCGGGGCTCCGGGGCCGCTCCGGGGCCGTTCCGGGGATCCAGGGGCTCTTCCCGGAGCTATTCCGGGGCTCCGGGGCCACTCCGGGGCTCCGCCGCTGCTCCGAGCCGGGAGCGGGCGGAGCCGGGGGCTCCAATTAAGCGCTGGTTTAATTAAGCCGGGAAGCGCAGAGGGCGGGGGGGATGTGAGGGAAGGATCCGCTCTTTTTTTTTTCCTGGATCAAAGGCAGGAATCGCTGCTTTCCCTTTAAATCCGGGATGCGGCAGCGCCGCGAGCGCGGCCGGGAGGCAGGAAAAGCTGAGCCCGCCCTCCCCGCAGCATCCCGGGAATGCGAGTTATCCCCTTCCCTTCCTTCCCTTCCCTTCCCTTTCTTCCCTTCCCTTCCCGCTGCTGTTTTAACCAAAATCTGAGTTTTTTTCCAAGGGAAACTGAGGCTGGGGGAGGAGAACCCAAGGGAAAACTGGGAGGGAATGGGGATTTGCACCTCCCCTGCAGGTGCAAAAAACAAAAGAGGAAATAAAACTGGAAATGGAAGGAAAAAAACCAGGAAAAAAAGATTTTATGGATGTTGGAAAAACTGTATTTGATTTGGGGTGAGAAGTGCTGGAAATGGGCAAAGAGCAGAGGAGGAACTGGGGGGTGACCTCAGCACTTCCCAACTGCTCCACGTGGATATTTGGGGAGAAAAAGGAGATTTTTGGGAAAATCCCAGGCACACAGCAGAGTTGGGGGTGGAATCTCCCTCCCCAGCCCAAATTTTCCCTGGTTTTACCCCAAAATCCACCCCTGGGATTCACCTTTTCCCTCAGGAAACGACACCGGGACAGGCAGGAACTTTAATTAATTTTCACCTTCATAAATTTGGGGCAAAAAGTTTGGGAAAAGGGACAAAGCCAGACCTGCAGCTGTTTTTCCCTGGGAAGCAGCAGCACCAGGAATCCGTAATTAATTGGTTTTGCACTAATTAAACTCTGCTAACGAGGCCACCCAAGGCGAGGGGGGACGCCAGGACAGGGAGGATTCCCTTCCCAAATTCCGTTTTACTGGAGGTGAATCCTGAACTCTCCTGGGGAAATCCTCCATGTGCAGAATGGCTTTGGGGTTTTTCACCAGAATTCCAGGAGGTTTAACCGGAATTCCAGGAGTTTTAACTCCAGTTTCAGGAGTTTTACCCCAATTCCAGGTGCTTTAACCCCAATTCCAGGAGTTTTAACCTCAGTTCCAGGAGTTTTAGCCCCAGTTCCAGGAGCTTCACCTCCATGTGCAGAATGGCTTTGGGGTTTTTCACTGGAATTCCAGGAGCTTTAATTGGAATTCCAGGAGTTTTAACCAGAATTCCAGGAGCTTTAACTCAATTTTCAGGAGCTTTAACTCAAATTCCAGGTGCTTTAACCCCAATTCCAGGAGTTTTAATCTCAATTCCGGGAATTTCACCCCAATTCCCAGAGTTTCACCCCAATTACAGGAGTTTTAATCCAAATTTCAGGAGTTTCACCCCAATTCCAGGAGTTTCACCCCCAATTCCAGGAGTTTTAATCCAAATTCCAGGAGTTTTAACAAGAATTCCAAGAGTTTCACCCCAATTCCAGGAGTTTCAGCCTCAATTCCAAGAGTTTCAGCCCCATTCCAGGAGTTTCACCCCAGTTCCAGGAGTTTTAATCTCAATTCCGGGAATTTCACCCCAATTCCCAGAGTTTCACCCCAATTACAGGAGTTTTAATCCAAATTTCAGGAGTTTCACCCCAATTCCAGGAGTTTTACCAAAATTCCAGGAGTTTTAGCCCCAATTCCCAGAGTTTCACCCCAAGTCCAGGAGTTTTAGCCCCAATTCTAGGAGTTTTAACCAGAATTCCAGGAGTTTTAATCTCAATTCTGGGAATTTCACCCCAATTCCCAGAGTTTCACCCCAGTTCCAGGAGTTTTAACCCAAATTCTAGGAGTTTTAGCTGGAATTCCAGGAGTTCCACCCCCGTTCCAGGAGCTGGGGGCTCAGATCCTCACGACCTGGGCGGCCACGCAGGGGCTGCTCCGGGGGGCGGCCCCGGGGCTGTCCCTGGGGTTGTCCCCGGGGTTCTCTGCAGGGTTGTCCCCAGGGTTGTCCCCGGGGTTGTCCCCAGTTCTGTCCCCAGTTCTGTCCCCGTCCCTGTCCCCCGTTCTGTCCCCGTCCCTCCGCAGCAGCAGGCGCCCGTAGGTGCCCCCGGCCTGGCCCTTGGTCAGACGCCCGGGGTTGATGCAGACACAGCCCAGGACGTCCTGCAGGGACGCGGACAGGGACGGGGACAGGGATGGGGATGGGAACAGGGACAGGGACAGGGACAGGGATGGGGATGGGGACAGGGATGTGAACAGGGACAGGGATGGGAACAAGCACAGGGACAGGGGACAGGGGATGGGGGACAGGGACAAGGGATGGAGACAGGGGATAGGGATGGGAACAAGGGATGGGGACAGGGACAGGGGACAGGGATGGGGTCAAGGACAGGAACAGGGATGGGGACAGGGGACAAGGACAGGAACAGGGACAGGGGACAGGGACAAGGATGGGGACAGGGACAGGGATGGGGACGGGATGGGGATGGGACAGGGGATGGGATAGAGATGGGGACAGGGACAAGAGATGGGGATGGGAACGGGGACAGGAACAGGGATGGGGACAGGGACAGGAACAGGGGACAGGGACAAAACAGGGACAGGGATGGGGACAGGGACAGCAACAAGGGATATGGTCAGGGATAGGGGACAGGGATAGGGACAAGGATGGGGACAGGGACAGAGACAGGGATGGGGACAAGGATGGGGACAGGGACAGGGATGGGGACAGGGACAGGGACGGGATAGAGATGGGGACAGAGACAGGGATGGGGACAAGGACAGGAATAGGGACAGGGAACAGGGACAGGGATAGGGACAGTGGGGGGTGTCAAAAATCGATGGATACAGCAGAACTGGGACCCCCCAGCTCACCCAGACCCCAAAAACTGCCAGATCCAGGAGATTTGGGATCCTCCAGACCCCAAAAGCCGCCAGGTCCAGGAGATTTGAGTCCCTCCAGCTCACCCAGACCCCAAAGCCCCCCAGCAGCAGAACTGGGACCCCCCAGCCCACCCAGACCCCAAAACCTGCTGGACACAGCCAAACTGGGACCCCACCCAGACCCCCAAATCCACCAGGTCCAGGAGATTTGAGTCCCTCCAGCCCACCCAGACCCCAAAACCCGCTGGGTCCAGGAGATTTGGGTGCCCCCCTTCCCCTCTCCCGGCCCTTCCCGTGGCTTTTCCTGCTGGAATTCCCCCTGGGGGTCTCGGGGGGCTCAGGGTGGGCTCAGGGGGGCTCAGGGGGTCTCAGGGTCTGACCTTGATGAAGAAGCGCAGCTCGGAGGGCGTCACCAGCACGTCGGGGGTCACCGGCAGCGCCGCGAACGCCGCCAGCGCCTCGAAATCCACGTTGAGCTCCTCGGAGGGGGGGTACAGGGGGTAGAAACTGCAGGGGTTGGGGAGAAAAAGGGGGTTTTGGGAAAAAAGGGGTTTTGGAGAAGAAAGAGTAGGTTTTGGGAGGTAAAAGGGGGTTTTGGGGAGGAAAAAAGGGGGTTTGGGATTTGATTTCCTCCCCAAATCACCAAATCAGCTCGAAATCTACACTGAGCTCCTCGGAGGGGGGGTACAGGGGGTAGAAACTGCAGGGGTTGGGGAGAAAAAGGGGGTTTTGGGAAAAAAGGGGTTTTGGAGAAGAAAGAGTAGGTTTTGGGAGGAAAAAGGGGGTTTTGGGGAGGAAAAAAGGGGGTTTGGGATTTGATTTCCTCCCCAAATCACCAAATCAGCTCGAAATCTACACTGAGCTCCTCGGAGGGGGGGTACAGGGGGTAGAAACTGCAGGGGTTGGGGAGAAAAAGGGGGTTTTGGGAAAAAAGGGGTTTTGGAGAAGAAAGAGTAGGTTTTGGGAGGAAAAAGGGGGTTTTGGGGAGGAAAAAAGGGGGTTTGGGATTTGATTTCCTCCCCAAATCACCAAATCAGCTCGAAATCTACACTGAGCTCCTCGGAGGGGGGGTACAGGGGGTAGAAACTGCAGGGGTTGGGGAGAAAAAGGGGGTTTTGGGAAAAAAGGGGTTTTGGAGAAGAAAGAGTAGGTTTTGGGAGGAAAAAGGGGGTTTTGGGGAGGAAAAAAGGGGGTTTGGGATTTGATTTCCTCCCCAAATCACCAAATCAGCTCGAAATCTACACTGAGCTCCTCGGAGGGGGGGTACAGGGGGTAGAAACTGCAGGGGTTGGGGAGAAAAAGGGGGTTTTGGGAAAAAAGGGGTTTTGGAGAAGAAAGAGTAGGTTTTGGGAGGAAAAAGGGGGTTTTGGGGAGGAAAAAAGGGGGTTTGGGATTTGATTTCCTCCCCAAATCACCAAATCAGCTCGAAATCTACACTGAGCTCCTCGGAGGGGGGGTACAGGGGGTAGAAACTGCAGGGGTTGGGGAGAAAAAGGGGGTTTTGGGGGAAAAAGGGGTTTTGGGGAGGAAAAAAGGGTTTTGGGGAGGAAAGAGGAGTTTTTGGGGATGATAAACATGGGTTTTGGAGGAGGAAAAAGGGGTTTTGGGGAGCAAAAAGAGGTTTTCGGGAGAAAGGTAGAGTTTTTGGGTAGGAATAAGGGAGTTTGGGGGAGGACAAAGCTGTTTTTGGGGAGGACAGAGGGGTTTTTGGGGAGGAAAGAGGCATTTTTCAGGAGGGAAATGAGGTTTTGGGGAGGACAGAGCCGTTTTTGGGGAAGACAGAAGCATTTTTCAGGAGGAAAATGAGGTTGTGGGGAGAAAAAAGGGGTTTTTGGGAGGACAGAGCTGGTTTTGGGGAGGACAGAGGCATTTTTCAGGAGAGAAATGAGGTTTTTAAGGACAGAGCTGTTTTTGGGGAGGACAGAGCTGTTTTTGGGGAGGACAGAGCTGGTTTTGGGCAGGACAGAGCTGTTTTTTGGGGAGAAAAAAGGGGTTTTGGGGAGGACAGAGCTGTTTTTGGGGAGGACAGAGCTGGTTTTGGGCAGGACAGAGCTGTTTTTGGGGAGGATAGAGGCATTTTTTAGGAGGGAAATGAGGTTTTTGGGGAGAAAAAAGGGGTTTTGGGGAGGAAAAAGGAGTTTTGGGGAGGACAGAGGGATTTTTGGGGAGGACAGAGCCGTTTTTGGGAGGACAGAGCCGTTTTTGGGAGGCCCTCACCTGCGCTGGGTCAGGATGTGCCGCAGGATCCGCGTGAAGCGATCGGAGACCCCGGAGGAGCTGTGGGAGGAAGGGGAGAGAAATGGGTGAGAAAAGGCAGGAAACGGGAAAAAAGAGATGGGGAAAAGAGGGAAATGGGAAAGGAAAATGGGGTGAAAGAGGGGATTTGGGGAGGGAAGAGAGAAAAGGGGGAAAACACTAAAAAAGGGGGCAAAGATTAAAGAAAGCCAAGGAAAGGTTAAACAAAAGGGAAAAAGGTTAAAGAAACAGGGGGAAAAGGTCAAAAAAAAGGGAAAAAAGGTCCAAAAGAGGCACCTGCTGATCTCCTCAGCCCCCATGTGGAAGAGGAGGTCGGTGGAGGTGAGGCCGAAGACGACGCCGTCGATGTCCAGGGTGCAGGGCTCGGGCACCAGCAGCACGCGCTGGACACACGGACACGGGGCTGGAGCCCTGGGCACCCAGAGCGCCCCAGAACCACCCCAGAACCACCCCAGAACCACCCCACAACTCCTAAAATACCCCAAAGCCAGCCCAGAGCGCCCCAGAACCACCCCAGAACTCCGAAAATGCCCCAAAGTCACCCTGGGATGCCCCAGATCTGCTCTGGAATGCCCCAAACCCACTCCGGAATGCCCCAAACCCACCCCAGAATGCCCCAAACCCGCCCTGGAATGCCCCAAACCCGCCCTGGAATGCCCCAAACCCACCCCAGAATGCCCCAAACCTCCTAAAATGCCCCAAATCTGCTCTGGAATGCCCCAAATTGGCCCTAAATCACCCCAAACCCCCCCCAATCCCACCAAGTTTTCCTTAAGGCCCCAAAATGTTCCCCAAAATCCCCAGGGCCGTGCTGGATTTTCTGCAGGAACATCAGATCTGTCCCCAGGGGGTAAAGAATGATTAAATTCATGAATCTGAACCCAAAAAGGGCCGGGAGGGGCGTTGGCAGCTCTGGAATTCCAACCCCAAATCCTTTGTCCCCCCGCAAGCTGTGGCAGCAGAAAAAAGGAGGATTTCAGCCCAAATCCCAGCTGGGGTTTGCCAGGAGGGGTGGGAACCTGCTGGGAATTCATTTTTTGGGGGGAAAAAGCAGAATTTTGGGGCCAGTACCGCTCTGTCCTCCTTGGGCAGGTCCTGGAAGGGGAAGGGAGGCTGCGGGTACACGAAGTCATGGGAGACGTCCCGGAGAGAGGGCACCAGCACCAGCTGGCAGCCAGCACTGGGGAAAAAGGGGAAAAAGAGGGAAAAAGAGGGAAAAATGGGATTGGGGGGCAGAAATGAGGGAGTTTTGGGGCGAAAAGTGGCGGTTTTGGGGGAAAAAACCCCGTGAGAATGGGGGTTTGGGGGGGGTGGTGCCCACCTCCTGGTGCCCTCGATGATGGTCCTGAGGCAGAGGCGGAACACGTCGGAGAAGGGGCTCAGCAGCTGGCAGCTCTGGATTGAGGGAAAAACGCAGGATTTGAGCAATTCCCGTGGTTTTGGGGATGTGGTGCTGCCCCGAATCCGCAGGGATTGAGGGGATTTTGGGGGGTCCCTCCTCACCTCCACCTGCTCGTGTTTGGCGTCCAGGAACGGCCCAAGCTGGGGGGAAAGTTGAAAAACAGCAAAAAATTGTTATAAATCACCCCCCCCAAAAAAGATAATTTTTAATAATTCTCATCAATGAACCCAAATTTTAGCACACACCCCCAAAAGTTCAGGGCAAAATGAGAGGAAAATAAGGAAATTGCTGAAATTGATGCATTGTGCCCAGGCAGGGAATCAGGGTTTGACTCCAAGGGCAGCATTTGCTCTGAAAATGGAGCTTTTCTGTCACTTTGGGGTGAGAAATGGGGATTTTGGGGATGGCTGGGTGAAACATGAGAGGTTTGGGGCACTCAGGGTGAAAAATGGGTGTTTTGGGGTGAGAAATGGGGATTTTGGGGATGGCTGGGTGAAACATGAGAGGTTTGGGGCACTCACGGTGAAAAATGGATGTTTTGGGGTCAGAAATGGGGATTTTGGGGATTGCTGGGTGAAACATGAGAGGTTTGGGGCACTCACGGTGAAAAATGGATGTTTTGGGGTCAGAAATGGGGATTTTGGGGATTGCTGGGTGAAACATGAGAGGTTTGGCACTCTTGGGGTGAAAAATGGGTGTTTGGGGTTCAGGAATGGGATTTCCATGAGAGGTTTGGGGCACTCAGGGTGAAAAATGGGTGTTTTGGGGTGAGAAATGGGATTTTCATGTGAATTTTGGAGGGTTTGGAGCCTCCCCAGCGTTTCGAGGCTGGGGGTCGGGGTGGGGGGTGCAGGGTTGGGTTGATAACGAGGAGGGTAATTAATACTCGTGGTTAATGAGGGGCTCGCTGGGGTCTCCTCACCAGGACACAAACGTCGGGGCGGTCCCGGGCCACGAGCTCCAGGAGGTCACTGAGGGGCTCGAAGGCGACGCTGTCCGAGGGCGTGAAGGGGCCACAGGCCACCAGCACCAGCCTCTGCCCTGGGGGGTTGGGGGGAAAGGGGGGGTTTGGGGGAAAAATGGGGGATTTTGGGCAAAAAAGGGGGTTTGGGGGAAAGGGGGAAGTTTAGAGGTGGGAAAGGGGGGGGTTTGGGGGATGGAAATGGGAATTTGGGGAGGGAAAAAGAGGGGAAGGGGAGAAAAAGTGGCTTGGGGTGATAAAAAGGGGGATTTGGGATCCCAAATTTGGGTTTGGGAGGGAAAAAGGAGTTTGGGAGGGGGGAAAAAGGGGGTTTGGGGGGTAAAAAAAGGGGGGGATTTAGGGAAAAAAAGGGAGGTTTGGGATCCCAAATTTGGGTTTGGGAGGGAAAAAGGAGTTTGGAGGGGGGAAAAGGGGGTTTGGGGGAAAAGGGGGAAGTTTGGGGATGGGAAATGGGGGGATTTGGGGAGGGAAAAGGGGGAGACAGAATCCAAAGGGCACTTTGGGGACAGAAATGAGGATTTGGGGGACAAAAGTGGAGGTCCCAGGGCTCACCTGCCATTGGCTCCGTGGGGGTGTGGAAGGGCAGAGGGACCCCCTGGGGGAAACCAGGAATGTCCAAAATGCCCCAATTCCACCCCAAATGCTCCAATTCCAGCCCAAATCCCACCCCAAATGCTCAAATTCCACCCAAAATCCCCCAATTCCACCCAAAATTCCACCCCAAATGCTCCAATTCCAGCCCAAATCCCACCCCAAATGCTCAAATTCCACCCAAAATCCCCCAATTCCACCCAAAATTCCACCCCAAATGCTCCAATTCCAGCCCAATTCCAGCCCAAATCCCACCCCAAACGCTCAAATTCCACCCTAAATCCCCCAATTCCACCCAAAATTCCAGCCCAAATGCCCCAATTCCACCCCAAATGCCCCAATTCCACCCCAAATTTCACCCCAAATGCCAAAATTCCAGCCCAAATGCCCCAATTCCACCCCAAATGCCCCAATTCCACCCCAAATTTCACCCCAAATGCCCCAATTCCACCCCAAATGCCCCAATTCCACCCCACACCCCCCGGGAGCGGGCTCACCTCACCAATTCCAGCCCAATTCCAGCCCAAACGCTCAAATTCCACCCTAAATCCCCCAATTCCACCCAAAATTCCAGCCCAAATGCCCCAATTCCAGCCCAAATGCCCCAATTCCACCCCAAATTTCACCCCAAATGCCCCAATTCCACCCCAAACCCCCCGGGAGCGGGCTCACCTCGTAGAGCTTGGTCACCACCATTCTCCTGCCCGTGCTGTTGGTGCCTTCCAGGGCCACCACCTGGGGACACCAGGATTGGGGCAAAACGGGGGGAAATTGGGAAAAAGGGGCAGGAATTGGGAAAAAGAGGGGGAATTGGTGGGGAAATGGGGCAGGAATGGGGGAAAGGGGCAGGAATGGGGAAAAAGGGGCAGGAATTGGGGAAAAAGGGGCAGGAATTGGGGAAAAAGGGAAGGAATTGGGAAAAAGGGGCAGGAATTGGGGGAAAAGGGGCAGGAATTGGGGAAAAGGGGCAGGAATTGGGGAAAAGGGGCAGGAATTGGGGAAAAGGGGCAGGAATTGGGGAAAAGGGGCAGGAATTGGGGAAAAGGGGAGGAATGGAGGGGAAAGGAGCAGGAATGAAGGGGAAGGGGCTGGGATTGGGGGGAAAAGGAATTGGGAAAAAGGGGCAGGGAGGGAAGGGGAGCCCCCCCAAGGCCGCACCTGTCCCGGGAAGAGGGAATATTCTGGAAGCTCGGAGAGGTCCAGAGGGACCTGGGCCCCCCCCGAGTGCTCCCTGTCCCCCAGCAGCAGCACGGAGTGGGCGTTCAGCTTCCCGTTGCCATCGCAGCCGATCTGGCCCAGCACTGTCACCGGCTCCTGCGGCGCGGCACGGCGGGGGTTAACGCGGAACGGGGGACTGGACCCAAAATGGGGGGGTTTAAACCAAAATGTGGGGGTTTCACCCCAAAAAGGGGCTGGGGTCTCACCTGGGCCGGGAGCACAGCAGAGCTGAAGGTGTCCAGGCCGTGGTGCCTCCGCAGAACCTCCCCGAGCTCCTCCACCCGCTCGGCCAGCGCTGGGGGACCCCGGTGTCACCAAAGGCCCCCAAACCCCAAACCCTGACCCCTCCAAGCTGGGGGGGACCCCGGTGTCCCCAGACACCCCCCGACCTCAATCCCTGACCCCTCGAGCTCAGGGTGACCCCGGTGTCCCCAAACACCCCCTGACCCCAAACACCCCCTGACCCAAATCCCTGACCCCTCCCAAGCTCAGGGTGACCCCGGTGTCCCCAAACACCCCCTGACCCCAAACCCCCCTGGCCCCCAGCCCAGGCGGCCGTGCCCACCTTCCCGCACGTCCAGCGCCTTCTGGAACATGAATTTGTAGGGTTTGCTGAGGCTGTGCTCGGGGCAGCCGAAGGTTCTGACGGCGCAGCCGCCGCGGCCGCGCCAGGCCGGGCCCTGCACGGAGCCAAACGAGGCCACGACCTCGCCCCGGCCCCCCCGGGATGAGTATTTCTGGGAGGGGGTGACACTGTGGGGACAAAAAACCCGGAGCTGTCCCACCCTGGAACCCCGTGGGTTTGGGGTTTTCCTCCTTTCTGTTACCCCCGTTCTGAGCACAACGATGAAGGGAGCTTGAAGGGAGGAATTCCCCGGTGTGAGCAGGGTGTTCTAACGGGGTTGAGTGGTTTGGGTTGATTAATGAGGCTTTGAAAATGATAATGTTTGTAGTTTTAAAGGCTTTGTAACTGCAAGGAGCTCGGTGGGGTTTTAACCATCCCCCCAAATTTAAAGAGGTTCTAAAATGCTCCAATTGAACTTCCTTAAGGGTGGGGTTTTAACAAAAAGGAAGGAAGGAAAGAGGGGAAAGGGGTGGTTGAGGGGAGCCCCCAGGAGCCCTCACCCACCTTGGGGAGAAGCTGCTGGGGGAGAAGAGCCCGTAGGGGCTGCGGGACGAGGGCGCCCGCTTGGGCCGGGGCGTCTCTGGTGTGGAATTGCTGCGTTTCTGGGAGCCCTGCGGGGAACAGACACGGAAAAAGGATCTCTCCAGGCCGGTTTTAGGGCAAACCCCGCGGATTTGGGGCGATGCCCACCTTGGATGGGGTGGTGTAGGCGTCCAGCAGCTCGTCCTCCTGCTCCTCGTGGAGCCTGGTGCTCGTTAAGGGGAAAAAATCTCTCCGAGTTTGGGTGAATCCCCCCCAGAAGCCCCAAATCCAATAATTCCTCCCATTCCCAGACCCCACGGGGGATCTGTGACAGCTCACGGCCCCCCACTTTCTGCCAGGCCCCCCAAACTGCTCGGGATCTGCTCAGAATGTTGGGATATCCTCAGGATCTCCTCAGGATATCCTCGAGATCTCCTCAGAATGCTGGGATATCCTCGGGATCTCCTCAGGATATCCTCAGGATCTCCTCAGGATATCCTCGAGATCTCCTCAGGATATCCTCAAAATGTTGGGATATCCTGAGGAGATCTCCTCAGAATGTTGGGATATCCTCGGGATCTCCTCAGAATGTTGGGATATACTCAGGATATCCTCAGGATATCCTCAGGATCTCCTCAGAATGTTGGGATATCCTCAGGATCTCCTCAGGATATCCTCGGGATCTCCTCAGAAGGTTGGGATATCCTCAAGATATCCTCAGGATCTCCTCAGAATGTTGGGATATCCTCGAGATCTCCTCAGGATATCCTCAGCAGGATCTCCTCGGGCTGAGGGGATACAGCTCCTGCAGCGAGTGGATGTCGTGGAGGAGCCCCCGGCGCTCGTCCCGCCCGCGCCGCCCGCGGCCGCCGCGCTTGGCCAGCACCTGGGGCAGGGGGCAAGCCCGGGGTCAGCGCTCGCCGCCGTCCCGGGGGCTCGGGGCAATCACGGGGGGCACTCGGGGACCCCCACCTCGTGCTCGAAGGCGTCCAGGCCCTCGGGGGTGAGCTGCAGGTCGAGGTCCTTGCTGGTGACGAAGGCCAGCAGCTCGTTGGCCAAGGCCACCGGGCCCAGCCCGTGGCTCAGGCACAGCTCCACCACTGCGGGGAGAACGGGGGGTCCCAAATCCCACCGAGACCCTTTGGGTGCCCCGCAGCCACCCCCTCAGCCCTCTGTGCTCCACAAAACCCAGCAGCTCCCAAAATCCTGGCCCCCACAACACCCCCCATGAATCAAATAACCCCTCACAGCTCTCCTGACACCCCCAGTTCCCCTCACAACTCTCCTGACACCCCCAAAGCTCCTCTGACACCCCCAGCTCCCCTCACAGCTCCCCTCACACCCCACAAACCCTTCCTCCTCCCCCAGCCCCCCAATCTCCTCCCACAGGCCGCGCCTCCCGGAGCCCTCACGCTTGTCGGGCACTTCCTCGCCCTCGCAGCGCAGCTCGAAGAGCCGCAGCTCCCTCAGCACCGCCTCGGCCGTCACGGCCTCCGGGCCCGGCTCCGGCTCCATCCCCGGCTCCGCCATGGCCGCGCTCGAACCGCGCGGGCGCGGCCCCGTGAGGGAGAGGGCGTGGCCAAGCCGTATAAGGAGAAAAGGCGTGGCGATGGCGACATAAAAGGCGTGGTTATTCAGATTTAGACAGAACGGACCAATGGGAGCACGATGGGCGGGAGAAGGGGCGGGACCGGTGTGCTGCAAGCACCGCCCACCGGGGGTGGGAGGGGAGAAGGGCGGGATGAAAAAAGGGCGGGAAAATTCGCGCCCTCAGAGCGCTGAGGGGGCGGGGCTGAGGCGGCTCTGAGGGGACGGACCCGGCCTGAGGCGGGGAACGGGATCTGAGGGGTGGAACTTGCAAGGAGTTTGTAATTGCACAGAGTTCAGTGGGGTTTTAACAATCCTCCCAAATTTACAGAGGTTCTAAAAAGAGTCTGAGGAATGGAATCCGGTCTAAGGGGTCCTCCTCGGGTCTGAGGGATGGAACCGGGTCTGAGGGGGTGGAACCGGGCCTGAGGGATGGAACCGGGCCTGAGGGGGGAACCGGGCCTGAGGGGTGGAACCAGGTTTGAGGGGGCGAACCGGGTCTGATGGGGGAACCGGGTCTGAGGGATGGAACCGGGTCTGAGGGGGTGGAACCGGGCCTGAGGGATGGAACTGGGCCTGAGGGGGGAACCGGGTCTGAGGGGGGGAACTGGGTCTGATGGGGGAACCGGGTCTGAGGGATGGAACCGGGCCTGAGGGTCGCACCTGCCCCGGGGATTCTGCCCCGGCCCGGGGTCCCCTCCCTGCCCAGCCCCTCATCCCCTCTGAGTCACGGCAGCCTTGTCCTGCACTCCCCACCCAGGAGACACCACTGGGTTTTAAGTTACAACCACCAACACATCCCAAAAAGATATAACTATAACCCCAAATATGTGATCTATAACCCCAATATAACCCCTAAACCCATTACTTTGGAGCACCTTGAAATGCCCTCACCCCCCAACTTGAGGAGGAGAAAGAACTGCCAGAAAAGAGTTTTGACTTAAATAACTTTTTTTTTTCTTTGGTTTTTATCTCATTTTTAATTTATACAATAAAAAATCACTTTATGGCACCCGGGGGCAGCAGATCCCTGAAGCGAAGGACGACGGCCGGGGCTCCGTCAGCACAAGAGGCACCGAAATCCAGAGGATTTGCCCCAAAAGGGCCGAGCGTGAGGTGAGGGAAGGACAGGAGGCTTTGGCAAAGCTTGGGGGGGGTCTCGTGTGACCCCACCCCACTCCCCCATCCAGCCTTTTCTGCCAAAAAAAGCTAAAAAAAGGGAAAAACCGGCGCAGGGTCCTGGAAGGCACTTGGAGGATCCGGTCAGGCGAACATGGTGAGCTGGAGCCACTGGGGAGAAGGAGGAGGAGGAGGGTGAGGGAGGAAGGGGAGCAGGACAGGGTGAAGAAAGTGGGGAAAGCAAGAGGAGGGAGAGGAGGAGGAGGAGGAAGGCCTTGAGCTCCCCCCAGCAAGAGGAGGGAGAGGAGGAAGAGGAAGAGGAGGAGGGAGAGGAGGAGGAAGGCCTTGAGCTCCCCCAGTACCTGCAGCAGGTCGAAGGTGACGACGCCGTCCTGGTCCACGTCCATGGCTTGGAAAAACCCTGAGGGGAGGGAAAGGTGTTGGGATTTGGGGTGGGGAGAAAGTTCCATTTGTGAGGGAAAAGTGTGGTTGGAAGGGGTGGGATGATTCGGGATCAGGGTGGGAGGGATGGTTTGGGATCATTGGGGATCTGGGAGGGATCGTTTGGGATTGGGTGGGAGGGGTCATTTGGGATCACTGGGGATCAGGCTGGGAAGGAGCATTTGGGATCATCAAGGATTACTCAGGATCTGTGTATGAGGGATGGTTTGGGATCATTGGGGTGGTTTGGGATTGGGTGGGACGGATCATTTGGGATCACTGGGGATCAGGCTGGGAAGGAGCATTTGGGATCATCAAGGATTACTCAGGATCTGTGTATGAGGGATGGTTTGGGATCATTGGAGATCTGGGAGGGATCGTTTGGGATTGCATGGGAGGGATGGTTTGGGATCATTGGGGATCACTCAGGACTGCATATGAGGGATTGTTTGGGATGATTGGGATGTTGAGGTGGGAGGAATCATTTGGGATCATTCGGGTTTAGTGAGGATTGCACGGGAGGGATTGTTTGGGATGATTCGGGATCACTCAGGGCTGGGTAGGAGGGATTGTTTGGGATCATCAGGGATCACTCAGGACTGGGTGTGAGGAATTGTTTGGGATCACTGGGGATCAGGGTGGGAAGGACCGTTTGGGATCTTTGGGGATCAGGGTGTGGAAGGATGGTTTGGGATCATCAGGGATCACTCAGGACTGCATGGGAGGGATGGTTTGGGATCCCTTGGGATGGTTTGGGATCCCCTGGGGTGCTCTGGGATCCCCTGGGGTGCCGGGGTGCTCACGGAACATGGTCTCCAGGCGCACGAGGCAGCAGACGAAGCTGTCGAAGTCCAGCGCCAGGTCGGGCTCGGCGTAGCGGGTGATGAGCAGCTCGTGCAGCCTCTTGTTCAGCCGGTACCCTGGGACAGGGGACAGCCCGGGGGTCACCGGGGGACCCCCGGGAAGGGCAGGGGTCCTGGGGGGGTCCCGGGGGTCACCTGCGGCCTCCAGCGCCAGGCGCAGCTCGTAGGCGCTGATGGAGCCCGACTTGTCCAGGTCGAACTTGCGGAAGATGCTCTGGCAGGAACGGCCCCCCAAAGAGCAGGGGTCACCCAAAGCACCCTCAATGTACCCCAAAATTACCCCCAAAGAGCAGGGGTCACCCAAAGCCCCCTCAATGTACCCCAAAATTAACCCCAAAGGAGCAAGGGTCATCCAAAACCCCCCCATGTACCCCAAAATCCACCACAAAGGAACAGGGGTCACCCAAAACGCCCTCAATGTACCCCAAAATTAACCCCAAAGGAGCAAGGGTCATCCAAAACACCCCCATGTACCCCAAAATCCACCACAAAGGAACAGGGGTCACCCAAAACACCCTCAATGTACCCCAAAATTAACCCCAAAGAGCAGGGGTCACCCAAATCACCCCCATGTACCCCAAAATCCACCACAAAGGAACAGGGGTCACCCAAAACACCCCAAAATCAACCCCCAAAGAGCAGGGGTCACCCAAAAGACCCCAAAATCAACCCCAAAGGAGCAGAGGTCACCCAAAACACCCTAAAATCAACCCCCAAAGGAACAGGGGTCACTCATGAGGGAAATCCCCCAAAACACCCCAAGGGACCCCAAAATTTCCCCAAAATGGAGACCACCCATGAAGAAAGATCCCAAAATCTTCACCCCACACCCCAACAGCCCCAAAAAATGGGGCAAAACAGTATGGGGGAGGTCTCCAATAAGGAAAGAGACCCCAAAATCCCCCTCAAAATGGGGGTCACCCCTGAGAGAGCCCCCAAAATCCCCACCCCCCGAGCCCCCAGACCCACCAGGTAGTTGCGGATGCGGTTCCAGAGGACGTTGAACTCCACCAGCCCCAGCTTCCCGTTCCCGTCTTTCTGGGGAGGGGGTTAAGGAAAGGGGGGCTCCAGGGGTCCCCCCTTAAGGGAAGGGGGGCTCCAGGGGTCCCTCCTTAAGGGAAGGGGGGCTCCAGGGGTCCCTCCTTAGGGAAAGGGGGGCTCCAGGGGTCCCTCCTTAAGGGAAGGGGGGCTCCAGGGGCGCCCCCAGGGGGGCTCCAGGGGTGCCCCCTTAAGGGAAGGGGGGCTCTGGGGGTCCAAAATCAACCTCAAAGGGGTCCAGGGGTCCCTCCTTAAGGAAAGGGGGGCTCCGGGTGTCCCCCCTTAAGGAAAGGGGGGCTCCAGGGGTGCCCCCTTAAGGGAAGGGGGGCTTCAGGGGTCCCTCCTTAGGGAAAGGGGGGCTCCAGGGGTCCCTCCTTAAGGGAAGGGGGGCTCCAGGGGTCCCTCCTTAGGGAAGGGGGGCTCCAGGAGTCCCTCCTTAAGGGAAGGGGGGCTCCAGGGGTGCCCCCTTAAGGGAAGGGGGGCTCCGGGGGTCCAAAATCAACCCCAAAGGGGTCCACGGGTCCCTCCTTAGGGAAAGGGGGGCTCCGGGGGTGCCCCCACGTCCCCCCAGCCCACGGGCACAGGATACGTCCATCAGGTTCACCATGCTGCGGCAGGACTCCAGGCTGAAGCCCTTGGTCCGCAGATCTTTGTCTGCAATTGGGAGTTCCGGGCGTTAACGAGGGACGGGGGTTAATGAGGGGGGCGGGGTTAATTGGGGCTCACGTTTGGCGATGATGCGGTTGAGGATGGTCTGGAGCTCGGTGACGCTGATCTCCAGGTCCTGGGGAGGGGACGCGGGGTGGCCCCGGTGTCACCGCCGAGCAGGGACGTCATCGGCCACCAATGACGTCATTGGCAACCAATGATGACATGGCCAACAAATGATGTCATGGCCAACCAATGACCTCATTGACGATGACATGGTCAACCAATGACATCATGTCAAAACAATGACATCATGACAAACCAATGACATCATGGCCAACCAATTACATCATGGCCAACCAATGATGTCATGGCCAACCAATGACGTCATGGCCAATGGCCAACAAATTATGTAATTGGCAACCAATGACATCACAGCCAACCAATAACATCATGGCCAACCAATTACATCATGGCCAACCAATGATGTCATTGCTAACCAATGACATCATAGCCAATCAATAACATCACTGTCAACCAATCACATCGTGGCCAACAAATGATGTCATCTACAACCAATGATGTAATCACCAACAATGATGCCATTACTAACCAATGACATCACTGTCCACCAATGATGTCACAGCCAACAAATGACGTCATCACCAACAACGGCGTCATTGCTAATCAATGACATCATGGCTAACCAGTGACATCATGGCCAAGAAATGATGTCATCTACAACCAACGATGTCACTGTCAACCAACGATGCCATTGCCAACAACGATGTCATTGCTAACCAATGATGTCACAGCCAACCAATGACATCACGGCCAACCAATGACATCATC